GCTCCGGACGCGCAGGCCCAGCGACCATGGCTCACAGGCCCAGCCGCTCCGCGGCATGTGGGATCTTCCCGGACCGGGGCACGAACCCGTGTCCCCTGCATCAGCAGGCGGACTCTCAACCACTGCGCCACCAGGGAAGCCCCAGTGTGTGTTTTATGGCCCATCTCGATTAGGATGCTAAGTTTTCATCAGAAATGTTTGATCTGTATTTAGATTACATAAAATTCAATGTTGAAGAAATGGATTCAGACACCCAAGTTGTTCAAACATATTTAAAAGTTTTCCATCATATTTTCCTTTATGTGCATCTACGCTGACAAAGCTGCGTCAGCATTTTGCCATGGGGATAAAAGGGAAAATATAAAATAGAAGGTCTCAGGGATGAGTGGAGAGTGTGGTGGAGTGGGGGGGGGGGGGTCAGAACAGGTGGGATTTGGGTCTAGGTCCTCGTTGTTGGCCCAGGGAGCTGGACTGGTTATGGGCTGACCCTGCCTGGCTTTCTCTAGTTTCTGAGCATTTACACTTTTTATTCTTTTCCTATCTCCTTTTCCCCCCATTCCTAGCTTTGACGAGACGAATTCCTACAACTGTTTCTGAATATTTCACTAGAAACCCTTCCAGGTCTATAATAAGGGTCCTTCTTATGAACTCCCCAGAAGTCTCCACGTGATAACATAATACCATATTTTATTAGGTGAACCCGGTAAAAATGCCAGTGTGCAGTATTGCTGACATCAGCTTTGGTGTGATAGATGCAGTGGTGGCTGCGGACACAGTTGTCCAGGGCAGAGAGTGGTGTGGAGGGAGAAAGCCTCCTGGGCACTAATATTAAGGAAACCTGGTGCGAAATAACTTAAGTAGGTATAATTTTTATATTGTGGGGTTCTTCTGAGAATTAAAATACCTGTAAAGAACCTGGCAGAAGGTAATTGCGAGATATTTCAAATTAGTATTATTTATAACATGAACAATTTTTATTAATAATTGCTATTATAATTGTTGTTATAGAGGGATAACTGCAAGTAACAGTGTGATCTCTGGCTAGTTACATCACCTTTCTAAGTGTTAGACTTCTCACCCCAAAACAGAAAATTATAGTACTTCCCTCGTATGTTTGTTATGAAGGTTCATTCATTTATTTCACTTATTGACTGTAACGTGGTGACACAAGCTGATGGATGTGTGATAAATGTGATTTGTTATATTATCATCAACATTTGGTGATGATCATACTGGAAGTGAACTTGGAATATTCCCCAGAGGAAGGGTGGGGTTTGAGTGAGGCACAGAAAGGGAGGATCAGAGGGAAATACAAGAGAAAGAGGAAGGAAACGGAAGAGTTTCAGAGGGATCCTGAAACCTTGGTAAGAGAGAGGTTCAAAAGGGAGAGAGGGGTGCATGGCCCGTCCCACCGAAAGATGCATCAGGACGGAGGTAGGATCTGCTCACTGGATCTGCACCGGGGAGTCCTGGACATTTTAGGAGGAGCAGTTGTAGCAGCCCAGGGGCCAAGAATTGGGCTGGAAGATTGGGTGGTGTGAAGGGGGAGGGAGGGAGAGTAGGGGATGGAAACTCAGAGAGAGTTAAGGGTTTGCAGTGGGGGGGGGCGCGGATGGCGGGGTGTGAGTGAATGTGTGTGAGTGTGTGATGTTTTCCCTGGGAGACAGTTAAGAGTGGTGGGAGGCTGAGGACGGTTTTAAACACGGGCTGTGTTATTATTTCGGTACAGCAAGGCCAGCAGATGAGGAGAGGACCGCCGTCACAAAGGCAGTTTGTTACTCTGGAGGCCAGGTCAGGGGGGAGTCGGGGGCACAGGGGACACCCCACAGCATGGGGGTGGCTACACGGGGAAGCACCTGGGTTGGTCACGAGGGGAAGTGTGGACAGGAGCCTTTATCTGCAGGAAGACAAGGGCGGGCAGGGTAAGCAGGTCTGGGACTGGCTAGTCTGAATCATTTCAGCCGGTCCCGGGGGCCTAGGGACTGTGCCTCTTGTCTGATGCCGGGCCCTGGAGTGACTAGGACTGGTGGACAGTGGAATGTCAGGGCCCAAAGGAACCTGAGAGCCAGTGAGGAAGGCGTGGGGTGTGGGCTCTGGATTGGATGGTTTGCATATGAAAGGCATTCCAGCAGGTGAGCTGTTTACAGTCTCTGGAAATTGACTAGCCCTGGGTGTGGCTGTCTCTCCAGGGTCAGCAAGGCCCCAGAAGTCAAAGCATCAGAAAAACAGAAAATAAAAGTTAAACTACAAGAATGGGCAGCACTGTGTGGTGCCCATGACACTTGACCAGCCTCCTACAAGAGCTGCGAGCATCGATCCATGCACACAAGGGAAAAACTAGGGGAGAGAGGCCCAGTGACATGGCCATAGTCAGCCAAGGAAGCAGAATCCCACCTCCTTTCCTCTGGCCATCAGCCTTCTAACTTCCAGTGCCCACCCCTGCTCTGCCCCACAAAGGCTGCCACACAAAGTGTGCTAGGGCTTGAGATATTTCGTGACGTTTTTCTTAACGTGGTTATACCATAGGACGGAGAGTGTGCATTTTCCGAGCCCAAGCATTCATAAATGGTACACGTCCTGGGATATCTTGTCAGTGAACGTATTACAAATTTTAAATGAAGCGCATATTGACAGCTGTGGTACGAACTAAACGGTTCTTGGACCCGTTAAATTGAATCACTTTGAGAAGGGGGGGACTTTGTGGCTTTAAACATCAATATTCTGCCTGTAGATAAAATGGAAGCATCTGGCCAGAAGGTAAGAACCTCAAAGGACTCATGACTCAGAACACGGAAATAGTTCATTAAGTTACGATGTACAGTATTAGTTATCTAAGTCGTTATAACTGAGCTTTAAAATATTAAATATGTATGATTGGAATGAGCAAGTGGCTAAATTGATTTTGAAATCTTTGCACGTTTTTTAATGAAGATTGGTTGATATACATTGGTGGCTCATTTTAAAAATTTCAAAGAATTCATGAAATTGGTTAAGTTCGTTTGCCAATTATTGTCTTAACAGCTTCAAGTAATTTTTTTTCTCTGTGATGGTTCCTTTCACCAACCTTATTTTGGCTTACTCTTCAGAAAAACACTAAAATTTTCAAGTTACTGCAAAGCAATAATTTTGTTTTATGATTTGAAACATGGATGTTAAAATTTCTCCTTTGGGGATTAAGGGATTTTATAACAGCCGTACCCAGAAATGGGCACAAATATGCCTTCTGTGTGTGTTAGCCTGTGAATGCCATGGCCAAGGCTCCCTTTCTGCTGCCTGCCATCCTGAGACTGGACTCTGTGACTGCAAACCACACGTGACCGGACAGCAGTGTAACCAGTGCCTGGTAAGACGCCTCCTGGTCATTACATACAATTAACGTGTGTGTCAGTGTTAATGTCTATAAATGATGCCTTAACTGGTTCAAATGAAATGGAATCCCGACCACCAGAAAGAGCAGGTTCCTGCAACATGGCTGGTGAGTGCTATGCGGCCCTACCTGGAGAGTATGTATTCGGTTTACAGAGACCAGTGGAATGATGTCAAGAACACTTCAGGAATCTATGACACATGCAGTTGTTGATTTGGGAAATGTTCTAATAGATACTAGCCACTTACTAAAATGTATTTTGTCTTCCGTGGCTCTGCCCCTGTGAAACAGCACGGCTACTACGGGTTGGACACGGGGCTCGGGTGCCTGCCCTGTAACTGCAGTGCATCGGGCTCCCTGTCGGACGACTGCACGGAGGAAGGCCAGTGTCGCTGTGTCCCAGGTGTAGCTGGGGAGAGGTGTGACAGGTGTGCCCACGGCTTCCATGCCTACCAGGACGGTGGCTGTACACGTAAGCTCCTGAATTCAGTGTTTGAGACTTCATTGTAATTCCCAGACTTTTCTTTGAGCTCTCCTTTGACTTCTGTCTAATTCTGTTAAGTTCCTTTACATTCTTTTTTCTGAACGTGTAGGATTTCATACCTTTTTTCTATTTCCTGATCCCTATTCTGGGTAAGTCCACAAGCCTTGGTCAGGCTGTACTAACTGTGTGAGCTTAGACTCATTACTCAACTTTACTTAGCTTTGGTCTCCTCATCTGTAAAATGGAGAAGTCGATTATTCTCTCCATCCAGGAGCAACTCTCCACAAGGAGGAGCATTCACCTCCCGTGAGACACGGCGGGGTGTTGGGGATCACAAGTTTCCTTTCAGGAACTAGAAGAGTGATTGAGATTATTTAGCACAAGAGAAATAACTTGCAGCAGCATCTCTGACCCCTCCGGCTGACCCGGCGGTCCTGATCTGTAACAACACCCTGTGTCTCTGTTGTAGCCTGTGACTGCGCTCACACTCAGAACACCTGTGACCCGGAGTCAGGGGAGTGTGTCTGCCCGCCTCACACTCGGGGTGCGGCGTGCGAGGGGTGTGCAGACGGACACTGGGGCCACGACCCGGAGCTCGGATGCCAGGTGTGCACTTTCACCTGCACATTTTCTCAACTGAGAATTACTTTGCTGTGTCAGGTTTCATTCTTCTTTTATCTATTCACTTGATTTTAACCTGTTGAGTAGCTTGATGGTTTCTATCAGAACTCAGTACCGATTGTAGGAATCAAAGTGGAAGAAGCAGCATCCTTAAAATACAGTATTCTAAATTTTCTTCAAGAGTCTAGCTGTGGAATTGATGGTTAGAAGATCAAAAATTTATTTTGGTGCACTTTAAATATATTCTGCAATATATGCTATCTTCCAGGAGAAAGACATAAATCACTTTATTGGGGGTGGGGGAGGTATGTCCGATCTCCAACGGTTCTGTATTTCTGTGTTACTTTTGTCAGTTAAACTTAGACTTTGCATTTTGGAAACAGAGGGAGTGTTACTGGACTTCTAAAATAATTTTGCTGGACTGCTTTGTCCTATTAAGTAGATTGAATTTCAGGCCACGGTTGTGGCCCAGCCTGCATGTGTCACAAAGGTTCACTAACGTCCAGCAGCATAAGTCCTGGCCTCTTGATGGCTTGTGGCAAAGTGAGTCCATATGGCAATAGTGAGAGCGATCCATTTGTTTGTGTAATCTCCCCACGTTTAGTGTTTTCCTGTAATCCCCATATGTGTACATTGTGAAAATATAAAAGCTGCCTTTTTATTTATTCAGTATTTTTCTTGCAGGCCTGCAACTGCAGTAGCGCGGGGTCAGCCAGTCATCACTGCGATGTGCTCACTGGCCATTGCCAATGTAAGCCTGCATTTGGTGGACAGACCTGCCATCAGTGCTCCCTGGGGTACAGAGACTTTCCGGACTGTGTGGCCTGTGACTGCGACCTGAGAGGGACACTGGCCGACACCTGTGGCCAGGAGCAGGGTCTCTGCAGCTGTGCCCCGGAGACCGGAACCTGCTCTTGCAAGGTACTAGCGCCCGGTTCCACTTCCTCCCTCCCTCCCACTCGCCATTCTGACTTCGGGGCTTTAACTATTTAAATAAGCACTTGGGTTTTAGACGCTTGTCATAATGAGTTTGCACCACCTTCTGGGTCTGGGTTTAAATTCTGTGTATGCTCTTCTATAATGATGGATGATTCTTTAGAAGGAATTTGTACTGTTAATTACAAGTGTCAGATGATGGGACTGATTTGAAAAACACGCTGAGTTTTCTATCATGTGTTTCAGTTGGCTGAGTAGCCTATCTGTCTTGAATATACAGGTAAAATAGATAACACAGGGCTTCAGGAAGATTTGTGATTCTATACCTGGTAAGTAATTATTCTCTTGTGCGTGCTGGCCAGACTGGAGGACATTTGTGTTTATTATTTTCCCAGGAGGTTAGATTTCAACATCATACTTAACTCCGTGTATTTCCTTTCGTTTTCCCGTTGTGCTTTGTTATTAGAAGGTCCTTGGCCATCTTCTCTGTTCCTTTCCCAGGGTCTGAGAGATGGAATCCTGATTGATTGGCGGTGGGGGAGGAGGAAGGGGAAACTCATGTGGCTGCGGGGTAACGGGAACATCAGTGGACGTGTGCTTGGTTCACCACATCTGTGGTAGCAGCTCTCACCACGGATGGTCAGCACAGGAGGACCTGCCCTAATAATTATCTGGCCCGTGGTTCTCCACCTGACTGGTCACCTGGGACCTCCAAGAGGATCCGGGCCCGCTCCTGGAGACTCACCAGGGAATCTGCATTTTCCAGAAGCTTCCAAGACGATTCTGATGATCAGCTGGGTTGGGGACTCGCTGAGCCTGAGAGAACTGGTGCTCAGAGAGGTTAAGGGCCCGCCTGAGGAGCAGCTAGTTAGCCGTATTGGTGCATCCAAAGTCACTTTTGTGTTTCTTCCCATTTCTGGTTGTTCATAAACTGTGTCTCTTTTTTTCAGGTAAAAATGAGTCTGTCACTTTGTTCCCTTTAGGAAAATGTCATTGGCCCTCAATGCAGTGAGTGTCAAGCTGGCACCTTTGCTCTGGACGAGGCGGACCCTCGGGGGTGCACCCCATGCTTCTGCTTTGGGCTGTCACAGCTCTGCTCCGAGGCCGAGGGCTACGTGAGAATGCCGGTGGGTTACACACGCAGATAAATGTTCTGTTTGCAAGCCTCTACCCTTGGGAGTTGGGTGAGGGTGGGAAAGGCAGCCAAGTACTTACATTAAATTTTGCCCTTACTGCATCAGAAATTCTAGGAAGCTGATTTGGGTTAGTCCAGAGTCAGAGGTCTGCTTCTGCTGTCCAGGAAGTAAATGGAGCAGGAACCAGGGCATCAGTGTCGTTCTGTGCTAATCTGCCTGCACCTTTAGTTGGAGTGAAGAGAAAACTCTCAGCAGTCTCCTTCATGTAATTGGACCTGGCCCAGTATAGGAAGAGTTTGACCCTAAATGCAGTGGTTTAAAGGCATTTTCAGTTCATTTTAATCCAGGTGTTTAAATTGAAAAGAAAAGTCTTTCTTACTCCTGTTTTAATAATGAAGCTGTCTCGTCTGAAACAGTGGAAGAATCTGACGGTCAAAGGTGCGGCGTTAATTCACATTCTAAAGTGGCTTTGTCCTCCCCTCCGTGACTAGGTAATGCTGGGCTCAGATCAGCCTCTTCTGCGTGTGGTTTCTCAGAGTAACCTCAAGGGTACGACCGAGGGGGTGTATTACCAGGCCCCTGATGTCCTCCTGGATGCCGTGACCGTCAGGCGGCATGTCCACACAGAGCCGTTTTACTGGCGGCTGCCCGGGCAATTTCAGGGAGACCAGGTGAGACGTGCACCCAGCCTCCAGCCATCCACATTTCCTGGGTGCACTTTGAAATCACAGTGGCCTGGGTTGGCCTATTGCTAACTGGAGTAGTTATTAATTTTCTCTTCTAAGTGGGGATGGAAAAGGTTAACACTTGTAAAAATCCCCCAGATGAATGGCTCTTTAAATTTCTCCATCAATTTTGAAAGTCCTTTAAAGTTCAAAACATATTCTTTTTCTTCTTAAAGCAGTCATTCGACAAACATTTATTGTTTTTACTAATAGAGGCTCAATGCAAACTTGGGTGCTATGGCCCGAGAGGGTCTTCTCAAGAAATGGGCACTCATTTTGGGGGGGGGGGGACAGAGACTTGAAGGCATCATATGCATCTTTGCTTATATAAATACAGTCTGTATGTGAATTCAGCCTGATTTTTAAAACTTGAAAATACGTGCTCTGATGGCTATACATAATTTTTAATTCAAAGGAGCTTGAAAGTAATTAGAATGACTGTTTTGTTACTTTGGAGCTTACCTTTGCTAGTATCATCAAGAGGAAACATTGGGAGGTGATGGCTGTGGCTGTGGCTTTGGTGATGGTGGTCCCATGGGTGTATACTTATCCCCAAACCCATCAACCTGTATACAGTACATAAGTACAGCTTTTTACAGCCGATTACACCTTCATGATGCGGTTTTTAAAACTTTTGGAGGATCGCTTACTTAGGAACGATAGCCTAGGTCAATTTAACGATCCATAATTAAGTAGAATTAGAAGGAAACTCATATCAGACAACGCATTCCACCCACATGATGTATTTTTAAGACACAAGATTTCTTTCAAATGGCAGCAGGCTTATGATAAAATAATTTTAAACCAGTGCTATGCCAGAGAAGTAAACAACACTGTACTCTTCGACAGCTCATGGCCTACGGCAGCAAACTACGGTACAGCGTGGCCTTCTACTCTTCCAGTGGGATCGGCACCTCCAACCTGGAGCCTCAGGTGCTCATCAAAGGAGGCCGGACCAGAAAGCAAGTCATCTATGTGGACGCGCCCGCCCCCAAGAATGGACTGAGACAAGAGCAGGAAGTGGGGATGAAAGAGGTGACCTAGCACTCTTTTAACGCAGGCCCCTCGGGCTGGGAACTCTGCTCTGCATGCAATGAAATCATGAAGCTGCTGTAATAAGAGAGTGAAGAAGAAGGCTGTGGGTCAAAATTCCAGTGGGTTTAGCAGAACTCCTACAGAGATTCAAATTTCACATTCTCAAGAAATGTATATTAGGCTTATGTTAATTTAGTGCAAATTGCATCTTAAATCCTTTATCGTGGTACACGAGTCTCAACCTGTTTGGATATGATGGTCTGGAGTCTTTGCCTGCCCTTGAATTTGGAAAGTGTGGATTCCTTCCTCCAGCGGATGTTTACTGACTGCGTGGCTAGCGCTGCCAGAGGTGATGTGAGGCCATTGATAAATGAGATGGTGCGGCTGCCACCCCTGGGAGGTGACACAAGAGCTTCCTCACTTAAACTCAGTGTCACTTAGAACTGGGCTCACTGCTGGCGAAATTTCTAAAGGAATTAAGTTCATATGCCTCTGAGGATCTGTACCCTGAATTTAATTGAATGTGCTTCTCATCCACAGAATTTTTGGAAGTACTTTAACTCTGTTTCTGAAGAACCTGTCACACGTTCAGATTTTATGTCTGTTCTTAGCAACATTGAGTACATCCTCATCAAAGCATCTTATGGCCAAGGATTACAGCAAAGCAGGTACTTGGAAACTTCTAGAAGTTTCCAAATATTTTCCTTATTTGAAAGCAAACTGAAGGGATTTGATTCACTTTACCCCCTTTACCTCCTATCTTTAATATCATATATATTTCTGTCCCTCACCCAAACCTTATTAAATGTTAATATTATTATGAAATATGTGAAAAGTGACATAGATTATCCATCTCCTGTATTAATGTGGATATAACATGTAAGTACATAATGGTGATATCTTCTATGTAAACAACAAAACAGTTCTGCTATTTTCTGCCCTTAAACTGCAATGCCCATTTCTCTGTCACAAGGCATCAAGAATGCTGTCCCCTGCTCATGTAGTACTACTCCCATAAAGAAAGCCACTAGGTTATGGCCAAGCGAGTACTTCAGATTCTTTCAGGTGTGCTTTCTCTAACATTATATTGAAGTTCTAAACTTTTGGCTGTGGACCTTCCCTGTATAATGACTAGTGTGCTTTTAGTGTGTTTTTACCCATTTCCTTTACAGCTGTGAGTAGGAACTACTCTCAAACTGGCAGGAAAGCTCTGGTTTCATATATGTGCCAACATTCTTCAGTAATGTGCTGTTTCAAGAAAGTGTCTTTTTAAATATTAGTGTCTCCTCTCACGTTTCTTAACCCAACGGTTTCACAGAATCTCAAATATTTCTATGGAGGTTGGCAGAAAGGCTGAAGAGTCGCACTCCAGGAGGGAGGTGGCATCCCTTTTAGAGAAGTGTCTCTGTCCTCCTGGCACAGCTGGATTCTCATGTCAGGTAGGGAGACTGTGGTTAAAATCCGTTTCCTGGTTTGGGGTTGAAATATACTTGTTACAGCAGCTCCGAGTGATGAAGAGAACTGTGTGTCTCTATTATGTCATTTTTGCCTTTTAAAAATTACTTGTGGTAGAATAGGCATAAACATAAACTTCACCATCTTGACCATTTCTAAGGTGTGTACAGCTCAATAGTCTTAAGTACACTCACACTGCTGTACAACCAATCTCCAGAATTCTTCATCTGGTAAAACTGAAACTCTGTACCCAGTAAACCCTAAACCCCCTAGGCCCTCCCCCAGTCTCAACCCTTCTACTTTCTGTCTCTATGAATCTACTACTGTAGGTCCCTCATGTAAGTGGAATCATGCAGTATTTGTCTTTTTGTGACTGGCTTATTTCACTTAGCATGATGCCCTAAAGATGGATCCATGTTGTAGCATGTGTCAGAATTTGCTTCCTTCTTTTTTTTCTTTTTTTTAAAAAATTTATTTATTTATTTTTGGCTGCATTGGGTCTTTGTTGCTGTGCGGGCTTTCTCTAGCTGTGGCGAGCGGGGGCTACTCTTCGTTGCGGTGTGCGGGCTTCTCATTGTGGTGGCTTCTCTTGTTGTGGAGCACGGGCTCTAGGCACGCGGGCTTCAGTAGTTGTGGCACACGGCTCTAGAGCTCAGCCTCAGTAGCTGTGGCGCACGGGCTTAGTTGCTCAGTGGCATGTGGGATCTTCCCGGACCAGGGTTCAAACCCCATGTCCCCTGCATCAGCAGGTGGATTCTTAACCACTGCGCCACCAGGGAAGTTCCTTGCTTCCTTCTTAAAGCTGAATAATAGTCCATTGGATGGATGGACCACGTTGTGTTTATCCATCCATTCATCAGTGGACACATGGGTTGCTGTCACCTTTGGCTATTGTGAATAACGCTGCTACAAACATGGGTGTACCAGTATCTCTCCAAGATCCTGCTTTCAGTTTTTGGGGTTTATACCCAGAAGTAGAATTGCTGGATCATGCGGTAACTCTGTTTTTAACTTTTTGATGAACCACCATACTGCTCCACAGTGCCACACCTTTCTAATTCCCACCAGCAAAGCACAAGGCTTCCAGTCTGTCCATACCTTTGCCAACATGTTATCTTCTGGGGGTTTTTTGTTTGGGGTTTTTTTTTTTTTGATACTAGCCATCCTAATGCGTGTGAGCTGGTATTGGATTTGCATGTCCATGATGATTAGTGTTAATGAGCATCTTTTCATGTGCTTGTTTAGTCATTTGTGTTTCTTTTTTGGAGAGGTGTGTATTCAAGTCCTTTGCGCATTTGTTAATCAGGTTTCTTGTTCATTTCCTTTGCTTTTGCATTCCCTCAGGACTGCGCACCTGGTTACCACAGAGGGAAGCTTCCAGAAGGTGATGGCAGGAGACCACGCCCTCTGCTGGCTCCCTGTGTGCCTTGCAATTGCAACAAACACAGTAACACCTGTGACCCTGAAACGGGGAAGTGTCTGGTACGCTGGTTTGTTTGGGTACTTGCCTGACGCTTAGAATTAGAGCAGGCCCTGAGCATCTCCATTTCCAGTTCGAGGTCATACAAGCTTCTTGATTTAGAGAGAGTTTAAATTTAGCTAAATGTAAGATATACATATATTTCCTTTAGAAAGGTCTAGCTAAGTGGTCTGATAATGTTGGTGGAAATTCTCTTATAAATTTTACTTCCTTGAATCTGTTTATGGACATCAATTTGGGAATTAGTCAAGTGTCTCTTGTTTTTTTGTTGTTTTTTTTTTGCGGTACGCGGGCCTCTCACTGCTGTGGCCTCTCCCATTGCGGAGCACAGGCTCTGGAAGAGCAGGCTCAGCGGCCATGGCTCACGGGCCCAGCCGCTCCGCAGCATGTGGGATCTTCCCGGACCAGGACACGAACCCACGTCCCCTGCATCGACAGGCGGACTCCCAACCACTGTGCCACCAGGGAAGCCCGTCTCTTGTTTTTACTTGCAGTACTGGTGGTTGTAGTCAAAGTACGTGAGAACTTTCTGTCATAGAATTTGAAGGGTCACCTGGAGGTTTCAAAACGAGTTAATGTCAAAGTTGAAAATGGGTTTCTCTGTGTAAAGTGATGCCCTTTCCTTGCATTTGTTAAAAACTGCATGTTGTCCTAGAGGTCTTAGTGTGCATTTGTTTCCTGGCCACCTACCCCTAGGCCGTCAGGGACACAAGGAGAGTTCTGACCACTGCAAAGGACCAAGTGACCCAGACAGAAGTCTTGTGTTCCTGAGGACAAACTCTTGCATCCAGGCTTTTCCTTAAGCCGACGAGACCTTATTGATAACATAGAATAACCCGATATTCTTTCCCTACTCGTGAAACCTCATTCTTTCTGATAACTCATGTGGGAACATTGGTTCCTTGTCTAAATTGTGCCAAGACTAACCTGCTTCAGGTAAAATAACTCACTGAAGGAAAATGAGCTCCCCACCAAGAAAGACACACCAAAGCCTTAGAGATCTTGGCTGTGGCCCAAACACAGGAACCAGGGTTCCCACACCAGGTCCATCTTCTCCTGTTTGGAAGCATCTTTCATATGTGGAATTTAAAGGCAATCTCCACTGGGAAAACTGTTAAACCATAGCAGTGCCCAGGTGAATTTAGAAGCTGAAGCACTGCATGGTTCTCCTCAGTTAAAAAGATGTGTGTTCACCTTGGCTGACTTCATTATATATCTGGAATTAAAGAATTATTCCAGTCATTCAAGGTAAAATGAACTTAATGAAGATGCAGATAGCTGCAACACTGTTAAAAAATTTATTCATTCTAATTAACTCACGCTCCGGGCAGAAGTAAAGTCCTAATACAGAAAATGAGAAAATCTCATTTAAGAATTTAAGGAGAATTGATTTCAGGCAACTTCAGGTGAGATGTAATTAGCTAAGAAGGTCCCTTGGCCAATCACGGGGACAAAAGTCACACGGATAGTTTGAGAAGTTAATTGGTTCTTTCATGCTGCATCTTTCCTTGGTGCAGCTAAGCACTTTGACAAGATTAGGTACCCCTAGGACATTAAATGATTCCCCTACCTTTCCTGACCTACCAGAATAAAGTTCTCAGGTCAGCAGCTGACCTGTCAGTTTATACTCAGGAAAGAACACAGCCCACTTAACCCACCGTCGATTTCTTGAATCATCTATCCGTTCACTTCTGCCCTCTCAACCCTCCAGTGTGATCACTGAACCCCAACTATGCACAAATCAGTGTGCTTCACATCGCTGTTTGGGTCCCTATACATTTTAGATCCATATTTTAAGGCTCTGGAAGCTGGCCGCACTGGGTATATTTTCTATAAGAAGAATGTATCAGTAATTTCTAGGTTGTGTCGGATGAATGCAATCTTATAATGAACGAAGGCCACAGAGCTGCCAATGTGTCCAGGATTTTAAAAATACGAAGAAAAATGCTCACCCTTCCTTGAGAATAAAAAAAAGTCAACTGATATGAAACGTGGTAGTGCTGGGCTATTGCCAGATGAGAATGAGTTCTAACAGTTTCCCATTGTTTTCCTCTCCTTTCGAAACATGGGGCCCCAGAACTGCAGCCACAACACCGCCGGAGACCACTGCGATGTGTGTGCCCCCGGCTACTACGGGAAGGTGACCGGCTCGGCCAGCGACTGCTCTCTCTGCACCTGTCCTCACGGCCTCCCTGCCAGGTGAGCCTTGCAGGTGCGCTGGCACGCCCGCACCACCCACTGCTGAAGGCGGGCTGCTTGCACTCTCAGCTTCACTCTGCAGGGTCTCTGCCTGATCTGTCTTAATGAATACTCTGTGTTTGTCGAGAAGGGCTAACTTTAAGGAAAAGTGTTCATTCTTCCAGCATTTGAGGAGAATCTTTTCAAAAAGCAAAGTATCTGTGTGTTAGTTTTGAGTGTTAGAATGGAACCCATTAAAGAAAGGACTTTCAGGTTTTGTTTTTTTGAAGACTAATTTTAGCCTCCAACCTGTGGAACCAGTGTGCCTAGAGATGAACTGTTATTAGTTTTATGAATAATGATACGAAGAATTCAGTTCCTGTTCAATGCAAGGGAATGGGGTTAGAATTTATACATGCTGATGTCTGATGAAGTGCAGAAATGCTTCATGGTAAGGAAATTGGGGCCAGGTTCTACCTCGTACTCATGATGCTTGTATAGAGCTATCTGAACACATAAAAGAAACGAGATTTTAGGCGGGAATTGGAATATCCGTGGGTCCTCTTTGGTTGCAACAAAAACTGTAATTCATAAATAACATTTCATTATTGCTTAGAATATTTGACAAGGCATTGAACATGTATAGATCAAATACCAACTTTTGGTATACTAAAATGAAGTTTTCCTTTTAATATTTGTTCTAATCTTCTGTCTTTTATTGTCTCCAAGTAAGTGTTGCTTGACAGCGAATACCTAATGAGAGGCACTGTGTAAACTTCTCTTGTAAACTATCAAGCATCCTAAAATTTATTGCTACTGCTATTTTTTGTATAAAACCTGTATATAAAGTTTGAATCATCAGTTTCACTCATGTAATCTAAGCTATATGAATACTTGCATATGTGTATAAAGATGGGCATTGCTTGTACTCACAAGAAATTGGAGGAGGGCACTAAAATATCTACCTACACGGGACTGATTAAATACCTAGAGTGTATTGTGGTACGTACCTAGAGTGAAATATTGTACCAACACTGAGAAAAGAATAAGGCATTATCTGTATGTACAGAATTGGAGGAATGGCCAATGGAATTATGAAACTGAACATACGGTGTGATGCCATTTTGGAAAACATTCATATCCGTATGTATGTCCATGTCCACAGCTCCATAGCTGTACATGCCCAGAGAAATGTCTGGACGGGTGTTTTACACTTCTACTTTGCACAGTTCTATACTGTTTGTGTATTTTACTTCTTCAGTTACAGAAAGTCCACACCATCCCCACAGCACACCCCCTACACACACGCACACACACACACACGCACACACACACACACACACTAATAGTACACTGTTAGGAAGAGATGGTGAGAGTGTGAAGGTTCCGTGTGTGCTGTGCGTCTGAGAGGCCCCGAAAGACGTGCTTTGTTTTCTGCATATTTTGTGTTTTCACTGAAGTCTGTCCCTTTAGTGTTTAAGGAGGGAAAAAAGTCAGAAGTGAAGCAGGGCTCATAGCAGCCCTGTAACTCATGCTGGGAACTTCTCTTACCGGCCAGATACCCCAGCTGTTTTTTTAGTGGTTTGCAGGTACCCAGCTGAGCCTCTAGTTGGTGATTTAAAATGTGGAGGCAGAGGCTATTGAGAAAAAGGAACACGCCAGAAGCTGAAGTCCCCGAGTGAGGGGTCAGAATCTGAGTGGATCATCCAGTTTTTGGTGTTCTGTCCTTTTGCTGCTGTAGCCCATCGCCCGACTCCCCACCTTTAGGTCCAGTTACCCTGAGATCCCGCCCTCACTCTGCTTCTTTCCCCTGCTTTTCCCTCTTGCCTTTCACTGCAGTCAGGTGTATCCCCAGCGCTGGTCCAGCTCCCTTCTCCCTGCTGTTCCGCACGTTTGCTCACGTGCAGCTCTCTCCAGCCACCTTTTCATCTAATAAGTCAGATAATTCATGTACATCTCAGAACAAGCCCCTTTTCACCTGGGAAGCTTTCTTGTTTGGTGACTAATTAGTTGTCTTCTGTAAATCGGGCTGCATCCCCTCAGCACTCACATGGTTGTCACTGGACAGGCATCTGTGAGTACCTTCTAGATACAAGAGATGCAACCGCTTGTATCGATTACGTGTTTATTTTCCCTTTTTTTGCCCCAAAGAGTATAAGCTCTAAAAAACTTGTCCAATTGTCCAGTGTGATCAGTTGTTTTTTAGGACAGTATCATGTACCCTAAGAGTAATGAATAAGTACCCTAAGAAAGATTTGAAGTTGTGTATCTGAAAACTCAAAAAAAATTCTTTTCTTCCAGTTTTAGTCCCACTTGTGTCTTGGAAGGTGATCACGATTTCCGCTGTGATGCCTGTTTTCCGGGCTACGAAGGACAATATTGTGAAAGGTATGTCACCTGCCCCTTTTATACACATAGGACATGTTTATGAAAGCGATCGGGAGCCCTTATCAATTTGGATGTGCGCGATTGATAATGCAAAACGAAACCCCCCGGGCATCAAAATAGGTAAATGCACTTCCTTGTGACCATCTCATCCTCCTTTCAGGAAATAAAATGCAGAATAAGGCGAGTGGCCTGTGTTCTCTGCACTTCATGTGGCAGAAGTGATTACTGTCCTTGGGAAGCTGCTCTGTGTACTTACTCACTGGTGTTGACCCTCCTGTCTGTCCTGCGTGTCTCCTTCTGTAGGTGCTCCTCGGGCTACCATGGGAACCCTCAGATGCCGGGCGGCACCTGCCAGAGGTGTGGCTGCAGCCCGCATGGCTCTGTCCACAGTGACTGTGACCGCGGGTCCGGGCAGTGCGTCTGCAGGCCGGGGGCCACGGGGCTCCGCTGTGAGGACTGTGAACCAAGGCACATTCTGGTGGAGAGCGACTGTGTGTGTGGGTATCACTCCTCTCAAGGATGAAAGGTGGTTTCTCCTCTCAGATGGTTTCCTGGTACGGCGCCCAGTGGCATTGGCAGGATAGAGAAAGCCCTACTTTATTTTAACTAATCATAGATTCCTTTGCGTCTGCCAAACTGAACTTTGTGAAGTGCGTTTGGAGCCGAGGAGAAGGTTCTAGGATAACAGCATTTATCTCTCCATCACTATTAGCAGCACAGCAATGCAGCTTCATGGTTCAGCTGGTTACTGTCCCCTCTAGTGGAGCCAAGGGTCAGTCAGAGCAGAGAGGACACCTCTGTGGCTGCTCATTTGTGTCACCAGATTTCACGTGTGGCCTCAGCTCTTGGCTGTTGTGGAATTTTTTTTCGCCAGTTCTGATTTATTTGAATAGCAAGTACATGAGGTAGTGACCTTGGGATGTCTCCTCAGTGGTTCGCGGGGAAGGTAGGGAAGAAGAAAGGTCAGGATCATGGCAGTCCAGAGCTCTTTTGCTTTTCTTTGTGTGTTTGTCATTAGCAAGACACATCCGTTACTTTCTCCACTCCCCTTCGTTTGTACTTGCTGAAGGTGTCTGCAGACTATCTGAGGAAATCACAGACCAGGCCCTGACAGAACTTGCACTTGGAATTCATGGCCGTTGGTCCAAGTCAAAGATGGGCAAACGTGCTGTAAAGGTTGGAGCAGCGTTTCTGTGTGGCCCTGGGGAGTCACTAATGTGACCTGCGTCTGGGCGTCGTCATCTGAGAACAGGGGCTTGGGACCTGCTTACTTCCCAAGGCACAGTTGGCATGAGGATGAGATGGGATGAGTCCTCGGAAGCACTGTAGATGTTGTTATTACAGGATGCCGTGCGCACACACGGGAAAACGTGCCGGCCGCTTTGCTTTAACTTGAACTTCCTCTACCCTGTAGCCTGTGACGATGAATGTGGAGGCGTGCTGCTGAATGACATGGACCATGTGGGTGATGCCATCGTCTCTGTGAACCTCTCCGGCATCATCCCTGTCCCGTATGGGATTTTGTCAAACCTGGAAAATACAACGAAATATCTCCGGGTAGGTACTAGGAATAGAGAGATGGATAAAAACATGTGTCATGGGGAGGTGAAGACTTGGCCTGACAGTAGGGGTCATTTTCTCTGTCCATGCTCCGCATAGGTGCAGGAGCCTCAGTCCCAGTGTCCAGCGCTGGTAGGCACCAGGCCTTCTTCCCCTGAACCTGACCGGGGACTGCATCATCCACATGATAACTCGTTTCACTGTGGGACAGCTCTAATTGGTCAAGAATTGATCCATAGATGCCTCCTTGTAGATTCTTCCTCTGTGTTCCTCTTTCTCCTGCCTTTTGGAATAAGACAAAGTCCACTCACCCCTGTTTATAACAGGTCTTTGGATAGTTGAAAATAGCTGACCTAATACAAACACAGAAAAGGAATCAGGATGGCATCTTCTTTAATGTGCTGAATGAAGATGAACTATTTTCTGTCAGTGTATTATTCTTAACTGGAGTTGCAGGGCACAAAAGTTCCTCCTCCCTGGACGACTATATGAAAATCTCTGAGGGTAAATCATAGTTTTATGTTTAGTTAAAATCTGTGTTTTGATCTGGGTCCAAAAGAAGGTGGGAAGGTAAGAAATTGACTTACTAGACAGTGTTTTTTCATTCTAATTGGGAAAACGTGATTCTTAATTTGGCTTAAAGCCTATGCATTAGAATTTGAGATATTCGCTGTGCTATGCAGTAATGCGTGTGTGTGTGCGTGCGCGCACAGTGGAATCCAGCTGCGTCAGTGATCCACTCTTGTTAATCCCGGTCTTTTCTCTTTAGATATGATGGAGTTAAGAAAGGTTAGGAAACTCTAAGAGATGTTTCTGTTGTTCCTCAAATAGAACGAAATGTTTTGAAAGATAAGAAAAAAAAGGAAGGAAAGAAATGTTTAAGTTTCTTTTCCACTCACTATAGACACAGTCAGTAAGTACTACTCTGTCAGTTTGGGCTCCAGCAGTACAACTATATTTCTTTTTACCACGTGAGATAAACACTTGATTTCAACTTTAACTCTTTTTGAGTGATCTTCCCTCATTTAAACCACCTTGTTAATTCCCTTAAATGACTTTTTATGTTTATGTAAAGTTCTCAGGAGTTTAAAGTTGTGAACCCTTCACTTTTTCTTGTTTTCACTGTTGACCTACACTGCGACTTGGGCAAGTTGATAACTGTCTTGACCGTAAACAATAATCTAGCCCCTTCAAGTGTTGTTATAAGGTTTGAATAGTCATACAAGTAAAGAAATTAGAAGAGTGTTGGCATAAATTAAGCACCTAGTTGTTAGTAATTATAAAGGCTTTTCTTTACTTAATACTTTTGTATTTTAGCTTAGTAAGCGTTTTTTGAGGTGTTAGCAGTTATAGTTAAAATTTATGTGGCTCTCCTGTTAAGTTCGGCCCAACTCACTCAGGAATTGGAGCAGTTCAGTTCTGCATAGCCCACCAGACTTTAAATTCATACCTACATAGGAAGTTCAGTGCAAAAGATGGCAGTATGGAACCATGTTGCTGCAGTCAAAACTTCAGTGAATGTGATTCATTTTATTTTTTAATGCAATTTCAAGGAAAGGAGAATTTCTTTCTATGAACAAAAAAGGTAATAACAGGTGATTGTTAGTTAAGAACCAGAAGATTTATTTTGAAGCGTTATAATTTGTTTTCTTCATTGTTTTAGGACTCTTTATTAAAAGAAAATATACAGAAAGAACTGGCAAAAATTCAGCTTGAAGGTGTCTCAGAACAAACAGAGGACCTGCAAAGGAAGGTAAGTTCTTCACGTAAAGGGCCTGCTCCCCCACCCACTCCAGCCCTTGTGATCCCTTGCCGGTGGCTGCCTGGAAGGTTCTGATCAGATCAGGGCAGCCTCTTCCTCCCAGGAGCTGTGCTCCAGGTACTTTGTGTTCAAATTGGTTCTGATGCTGCCAGCTTCTGTGCTTTAGTGGGAAGAGGCTCCTGATTTAATTTCTGCTGTCCTGTCCACTGAGGGAGGAGTCGGGCTGCCACTTTACCATCACCTCTCATTTCCTCCTGTGAACCAGGGGTGGGCGGCATGAAAAGATGGGGCTTCTTCCCTGTCCTGGATTCACTGCACATGGTGAGAACGGAGGTCCCCACCCCTGCCCCCAACACCAGCGCAGCTCCTTGTGTGGTGTTGGCAACACTCAGGCTTCAGCCCTGTGCTTCTGATTTGTGGACTTTGATGTCAGCAGGGGGTTATTTATTCTCTTTAGCCCATGCCAGATGAATGGTTTCTAGTGACCGAAAAAGAATCTGCTCATTTGCAGATGGTGAGGGAGGCCTATTGCTATATTTATAATTTTTACTCATGGATTTTGTGTGTGTGTGTGTGCGTGTGCACACACACACACATAGATATGCATGTATGCACATTGATATGTGTATGATAGTGTATCTGTGTATATATGTATCTTGTCTCTGTCTCTCAGCATCCACACACGTATACAATCATGCACCCTAAAATGTATTAGCCTGGAATTAATGATGATTTGGGAAGAGTTTAAGGGTTTATATGTGGGCTTTAAAGTACCTCTGCAAGCAAACATTTGGTAGGAAGTGATAAGCTGATGAAAATAAATTCTTGTATCCATTAAAGAAGATTCTCTTTGGATTTTGACTGGAAAACACTTTTAGAACCATTCTGAGTTACTTTACATTCCTGGAAATTACGTTTGTAATTTATGAAACCTTTCTCTTCACAAATTAGAGCATTCCTGATAAAAATAACAGCTGAGAGCAGCTCTCAGCCCCTGGACTGCTGGCCTAACAGACATCATCCCGTATAATCATCATGAAGTCCTGTGAGGCAGTGTCATTATTACTGCAGGTTACTGATGAAACTGGGAGGTGTTGAGTACCAGGTCTCCAGCCTGGCAGAAGCAGGCCCGTTTGCCTAACTCTGTGTCTTAACTCCTTGACTAAGTTCTCACGGTCAGTAGAAATTAATAAGATTTTACTTTCTAGGTTCTGCATATTTGGGTCCTAAAGCGAACATGAGGTCTTCACAATGGAGACATTGGGGGAGTCTGTGGCTTCATGGCCAATTAGGTTGCCTTTAAAAAAATAGACCACCTTTTCTCACACAGAGTGAGCAGTAAATCATTTCATGAACGACCTAGTCCACTTCCAACCCAACTGTTGACCTTAGCATAGGTGATGGTGTACATCTTCACTCTGTGTTCTGGAATATGTTTGTTGCTTAAAAGAGACAACATCTGGAGTGCCGAAGTTCGCGTTGTATTCAAAGTCAAACTGAACTGAGGCCTTTATTTTCCATCAGCTGGACAGAGTGTTAACACGGAGCCAGCACGTGACCAGGGCCACCAAAAGGATCCTCGACAAGAGTCGTGACCTCCTGACGTTTACGGAGAAGCTGCAGGCAGACATCCAAGGTAGTGTCCTCGGAGCCTTGTCTGGCGGGTCTGGCTTCCTCGGTAGGAAAAGCTTATTCGCTTCACTCAGCACATGAGTAACCATGTCCTAGACTCCTAGACTGGACACCTGGAGCCTTCCCTGTATCCACATCGTTGTCTTTCATTGAGAGTTTTATCTTTTAAAAAATGGATGTTTCCTTTTTTCTTTTCCACATCATGCCGTACACTTTGGTCCTTAGTATCAAATAGATATGGTGCCTCCCCATCCATTATGAATTTGTCAAATGAACACTTATTAAACAGAGCACATTTGCCGAGTGGTGAGCCGAGGTCCAACAACAGACCACGAGAGAAGATGAGATAGAGCAGTTGATTCCTCGGGGGGGTCCAGCCTGAGGAAGTAGCCAGCCCATCTCAAGGGGCCACACGACGTGGTCAAGGCAGGGTGCAGGCAGAGAGAGGGAGACGGGACCTGGAGCGCAGGCCTTTATTAGGGTCTGTGCATGGAGTGCTTTGGGGTTCCTGGGCTAAGGCCAGACTGGCCAATCCAAAGCAGAAGAGCAGGGTTTTGGTAAGCCCCTGGGGACCTTATCTACGGGGCATGTAAGGGGAAGGTGCTGGGAGACAGGAAGACTGTCCATCACTGGGGCCATTGGGGAAGTCATATCCAGAACTTACATTTGCTTTGCCTCTGCGGCTGCGTCTAGGACATATGCTTGCATGAGGGGCCAGTGTTAGTTTAAGGTCCCTGCAGGCCACTTAGCTGAATGAAATGGACACAGAGGCAGCAATACCACAGAGTAGCTTAGCTAAACTCTCAACACCATCTCTCTGCCCAGAATAGGAGTTGATGGGATTTGGAGCTTCAGTGTGGTCCCAAAGTATGTCCTAATATCAGAATAATTTACGCCCTACTCAACTGGGATGTCCCATCTGATCTGGCTTTTAGAATGCTACTGTCAGTTTTTTGGCTACCAGAAATTCTGGCTGAAATCTTTTTGGATTATGGTGTAAGGGCATAAAAAGTATAGACTCCAATACGAATCAGACTTTATAGGGCAAAAGGTAAGGATGTTATTAGAACAAATGACATGTTTTTTAAAAAAGAGTAGTATCAGGCTTCCCTGGTGGTGCAGTGGTTGAGCGTCCGCCTGCCGATGCAGGGTACACGGGTTCGTGCCCTGGTCCGGGAAGATACCGCATGCCGCGGAGTGGCTGGGCCTGTGAGCCGTGGCCGCTGGGCCTGCGCGTCCGGAGCCTGTGCTCTGCAACGGGAGAGGCCGTGGCAGTGAGAGGCCCGTGTACCGCAAAAAAAAAAAAAGAAAAAAAGAGTAGTATCGAGTACTGGTGGTTTGTTCCTGCAGTAGATATTACTGAGTGCTTCTACACGCAGATGTTCGTGCCAGGGGCAGGGAATGCTGCCGTGAGCATGGTAGGCACAGCCCCTGCCCTTACAGTTTATGGGTACTGGGGAAGCAGACATGAAATAAACCAGTAATCCCAAGTCCATGAGTGTTTTGACAGAGGATGTCCAGAGTGCATTGGGATATATGGGCTGACCTGGCCTGGCTAGAGGTTCAATCCAGTTTAGGTGAGCAGAGCAGGCCTTACTGGAGAAGGTTCTAAGTTTTTCCGTTTTAGTACTGTCCATTTTTGAGAAACTTATTCAATGATTGATATATTTTCTCCATAGAAATCATCGAAAGGGCAGCAACTGTAAATCAGACCTTGGATGAAGATGTCCAGTTACCCAGTTCTACTCTTCAGAATATGCAAAAGAACATCACTTCATTGCTGGAAATCATTCAGAAAAGGAATTTCCTGCAGTTGCACCAAAATGCCACTCTTGGACTCAAGTAAGTGCCTGAATACCATTCATGACACAACCAATTAGAGGTAGGAACTTGAAAGCTGAGGGGGAAGGAGGCAAGTGGAGGAGAAGGAAAGAAAGCTCTCAGTGGGGCAGAAGGTCATAGGAGAAGAGCTGGGTGCTGGCCCCTCCAGAAGAGAAAAGTGTGATCAGTAGAATTTCTATCTTTGCTATTACGTCATAGGTTCGGTTTTTCTCTGTGACCCTAAAACAGCATTTCTGCTTTGTGTGAACAAAAAAAAAAAACTCAGGATACTGTCTTCCTTGAAGATTAAGTGTAATGCTGTAAACTCTCATGGAAGCAGACACAGGCAGTGGCTACCACTGAGGCTGTGAACTCTAGGACAGACTGCCATCATGCCAGATTAATTTAGCTCAGTCATGCACACTGTCATCAAAACCCATGATGTGAAATGACAGACCACAAAGAATTGTTAGACATGGTCACTAGGAGCTTGTAATTTGCTTTCAGGCTTTTTTCTTAGTATTTTCACACAGTAATTACTTGATGTAATAGCAAAGCTGTCTCTCTGCCAGGTTGTGATAAATGTCTTAAGTACTGGTTTAGTCACATAATACTCCATCAAAACTCCATTGTCTATAGTGAGATGTTTAAACTATTTTTAATGTATTTTACTATTTTAAATAATGTTGTAATGAACAACTTAGATAAGAATCTTTTTCTGTATTTCACATTATTATCTTATCAGGGTACATGTTAAGGAGTGAAATCATTTAGCCAAAGAGTTTGCATTTTGAGGATTCCCGACTTGCATTGCCAAATTATTTTCTAAAACGTTTTTAAAAACAACATCCACTTCTACCGGCACACACGGGAGAGCTGAGCTTACATCTTTTTTCATCATTGAATGAGATTTTTGACGTTGTTAATTTGTCCTGTGAGAAACAAAAGGAGGAACTTATGTTGCATGGGATTTGGAGAGGGGACTCATAATCTAATTACTAGAACATTTGTTAGGGCCCAAGAAGGGCCCTGAGAGGACTATGGACTGGTCGAGGGGGGCTCAGAAGTGGGCGAGGACCCAGGGGATGGGGAAGGGGCCGCCGTCTACAGAGCACCTCTTCTGTGCTGGGTGGTGTGGACTGCACCCCTCATGGACTGCAGGGGCTCATCCCTGCCACCTTGTTAGGTGCGAAATATCCAGCTGGAGAAACTGAGGCCCAGAGAATATTAGTAGCTTGCCCCATGTGCAGGACAATATGAAATCTGGCTACACACCTAAATCTGTCTGACATTAAACCCCATTATTTTCCAGCCCTAAACAACAGGAAGTACACTTTAGACCCAGTCCATAGAAGATGGGTGGGTGGAATTTCCATGGTCAGCTCAGATACCATGGCTGTGTACCTACACTAGATTGTAATCACCTCTCCCTGACCCAGCCCCTCCCCTGCATCCTCCCTTCACTGGATGCATGGTGTGGGGACCCCCACAGGGAAAGGCTCATACCTCCATGCAGGTGGTCCCAGGACCCACCTGCAGTTGAGGCAGCCACCGCAGGGCACCCTGCTCTCTCCCCACCTTCCTCAGCTCCCCGATGCCTCCTGGACCACATGTAAACATCACGTATTCATTCCAGCCTCCCTCTTCACTCACCATCTTCCCCCATCCACCCGGCTCCAGCTCATCCTAGGCTCAAGGTCCTCCCAGCGCCACACGTGGTCGGTCATCTCATTCATTCTCTCCCTCGGCTGCACGTCTCTCCCTCGGACGGAGAATCCCTGCAGTTCCCAGGAGTCATTTTGCAGGGGTCCTCCCCCCACCAGTACCTTCCACGGTCATATCATTCGGTCAATAAAGTGGATTGAGCCCACAGGTGTCCCACATTGTGCTAGGACTTGGGGACACAAAAGAGAACAATAAAGCCTTTTGCCCACTAGGAGCTCACAGTCCAACTGGGAAAAGTTGACTTACTGAGTAGCAGTTGAGAGGAAGGGGAGAAGGCAGGGGGCCCTCTCCCCACCTGTGCCCCCTGACCCTTGTCCCCGCTAGGCCCTCCTCCTGTCACCCTTTCTCTGTCATTGTAGCTCTTCTGTTTCTATTTGGAATTAAGTTATTCATAAGATTCTTGAACTCCCTCTTTAATTTGTAAGTTAAATTATTACTACTGAGACCTTTTATTTTAAGAAGATTTTTAAATGCCTTCTTAGGCCTCCACTTTCTTCCATAGATAATCCCTGTACTTAAGTCATTTCAAATTTCATGGATTATTTTAGGACTTATTTCTCAGCCTTGTTATTATAATTCTTAGAAGATTGATAATTTATGCTGAAGTACAGCAATCCTGTAAGTGAGAGTACTTAGCACACAACCTAGCTGCTTATCGTGCATGTGTCAGGGTCCCCAAGGCCACCTCCACATTCAGAGTTTCACCAGGACTCCTGTGACTCAGGGCTGAGATTTCCTAGAGCGGCGTATTAAGGATGCACCGCTGGATCATGAGGAAGATGCAGGGGAGCTGGGAGGAGCCCATGCAGGCTCCCTACACGCTCTCCATCCCAGGAGGGACCACGGAGCACACTCTCCCCCCAGCAATGAAAATGCAGCAGCTTGTGTGTGATGCCCAGGGAAGCCCATAGAGTTCAGCATCTGAGGTTTTCAGTGGGGGCTGCTCCCATAGGCTCCCTCTGCCCAGCACATACCCACATTCCAGACTCCCAGGAGGGAAGCAGGTGTTCAGCCTAAACCACATTGCTTGCACAAACAGTCGAGGCAGTGAGCCACCCTTATCAGTCAGGGGACAGCGGGAGCACTTGCAGACGCCAGCCGAGGGCCAGCCTGGCAAGCAGGCCTTTCTAAGGGTAGCCAACTCCGGCCTGCTATCTTTCCCTTTACCGCACCCTGTAAATTATCCTTTGTAGCTGTGTTTCCCAACTGTTTTCCACGCAGGTGTCCCCAGACCTATCAAAAGATATTTCAGTAAAGAAACGTGTCCTGTGCCCAGATAATTTGGTAAATGCAGTGTCTTAAGGAGAGACAAGGTCTTTACTACAAGTCTTCAGGCTGATGTTTCAGGATCTCCGAAAGGAGCCTGGAGAACACAGCTAAATGTACTGCAGCACGCAACCCTTTCTCATAGAACTTGCTTACCTGTTCACGGCACTAGTGTAGTGGAGAAACGCAGTTTGAAAAACACTGTTTTACGTAGTAAGGTAGATAGCTAGGGGGAAGCAGCCGCAAGGCACAGGGATATTAGCTCGGTGCTTTGTGACAGCCTGGAGGGGTGGGATAGGGAGAGTGGGAGGTAGGGAGACGCAAGAGGGAAGACATATGGGAACATATGTATATGTATAACTGATTCACTTTGTTATAAAGCAGAAACTAACACACCATTGTAAAGCAATTATACCCCAATAAAGATGTTTAAAAAAAAAAGAAAAACACTGTTTTACTGTGTTAACTAAATAAATTTTACAAGAAGAAACTAAGAGTGCTGAGGGGTTTTGTGTTTTTTCTTTTTAGTCTTTCAAGTCACTGCTGACTGTATCATTTCATCTGATCACAGCTTAGGTGGTAAATTCATTTCATAGATGAAAATATGACCTCTATATTTAAATTTCTTTGAGAGATACCTTCTTTAACAATGTGAATTGACAGATTCATGGCCACATGTTAGGAATATATTGGATTTATTTGTGTGTTTCCCATGTGCTCTTTTTGGTTCTTGTTGCCTGCATCATAATGCAACATCTTGCTATCATTTTTATAATCATTAAAAATCATAAGAATGTTCAAATAATTCCTGATAATGCTCAATGATATCAGAGTTCAAATATGTATCTTTGGAAAATGTTTTTTTGTGGTGTTTAGCCCAGCGATCTGATGATATGTGTAAGCTAAGGGTGATTTACAAGGCATTTTCCATGAAATTTTTCAAAGTTCTTCTGACAAATTGAAGCAAGAAGTTAATGGGATATATTCAACCACTGCAAAGTTCTGTAGTATGAAAACTGTATCATTCTGTAGAGCTTTAAGTTTAAATTTGATTGAAATAGCAATTTACAAAAGAATAGGGGAAAATGTCTTTCGATTTCCTAAAGCTTGCTTTTATCAATGGTACAAATTATATCTTTATGGCAATTTGGATTTGAAAGTTTTTATAAAATCTGTTTTTTAACTAGCTGCAGAAAAACCTTTATATTGTATAAATACACTGGTAACTTGAGAGCAAATCACTGAAGAGTCTCCTTTTTTCGATTTCTGGCCATATTATAATGAAACATTTCGTTGCCGTCATTCACAGACTATGGTCCCAATTTTCTGAATCAAGATTCACTGAGATGGTTTCTTTTAATTCCATTACTAAAATACGTTAGTAAGTGTGTGAATAAGGAGAGTTTGTTAAGGATAAAATGTAAATCTGCCATACTAATAGCTGTCTTAGAAAAATTGTTTCCCTTTTTAAGAGATTACGAGGTACCACTTAGGACGTCACAAAGGAACTCCAGAACGATTATGTAAAAGTCTCTTCCACTATCGGGGTCGGGGGGAGTGGTGGTGGGATGAATTGGGAGATTGGGATCGACAGATATACACTAATATGTATAAAATGGATAACTAATAAGAACCTCCTGTATAAAACAAAAAGTTTCTTCCACTGTCATTTCAATGACACGAGCTTTGTTGTTCATTTCTTACCATGTGAACCGTCTATTATTTTCCCAGGGCTGCTGAAGATTTATTGTCACAAATTCAGAAAAATTACCAGAAACCACAGGAAGAGTTGGAGGTATTAAAAGAAGCAGCAAGCAGCCTCCTTTCAAGACACAACAGTAAAGTGCAGGCCACAGAAGAGCTCCTGAGAGAAGCAGAGAGGAAGACCCAGGAAAGCAGTCGCCTGCTGTTCATTGTCAGGGCCAACCTGCGAGAGTTCAACGTGAGTCTTACCAGCTCTCTCCCCATTAGAGCTGGTACCAAATTCTCCCATGTAAATGATACCAGTCTTAGCTTCTTAAAAACTGAGTCCCGGGGCTTCCCTGGTGGCGCAGTGGTTGAGAGTCCGCCTGCCGATGCAGGGGACGCGGGTTTGTGCCCTGGTCCGGGAAGATCCCACATGCCACAGAGCGCCTGGGCCCGTGAGCCATGGCCGCTGAGCCTGCGCGTCTGGAGCCTGTGCTCCACAGCGGGAGAGGCCACAACAGTGAGAGGCCCGTGTACTGCACAAAAAAAAAAAAAAAAAATGAGCCCCGAAGGCTAACTTCAGCACATAGTGTCAGGCACCGCGGCTCAGAAGCCGACTTGCTTTTATGAAGCATCCTTAGAGGTGATTTTTGCTACAGGATAAAAAGCTGCGTGTTCAAGAAGAACAAAACTTGACGTCAGTGCTAATCGCTGAAGGAAGAGGACTGCTTGATGCTGCCACTGCACCTGCAAATGCTTCAGGAAAGGCTCTAGCAGTAAGTCCCAACTCAGGACAGCTGCAATACCCAAAGTTTCTAAAGAATCTTCCATCTCAGATACATTGTTAAATAGTTGCACATGTAGTCACAATGTTAATTTCTCTATGTAGCAGTTAGAGCATCACCGGGATGAGCTGCTTCTATGGACTGCCAAAATCAGGCACCACGTAGATGACCTGGTCATGCAGATGTCCAAAAGAAGAGCATTGGACCTCGTCTACAGAGTGGAGGATCATGCCACTGAGCTCCAGAGACTGGCAGGTGCTCTGGACAGGTGAGACCACACCTTGCAGGAATTCTCAGGTTGTGATCTGTGGATCAGAGAGAAAAAGCATGGCTATTTTGATCACAGTGTTGAGTCAAATTCTTTTTTTGTCTAAAAATGAAGACTTCTCTTTTATTTCCATGGCAAGGAGGATTTTCTCCCATGTCTGGTAACGTGGTTGACCATCAGCAGGACCGTATGATGGAAAAATGCAAACTGAACCAGATAGGAATGAAAACAAATATTATGCTCTGATATCAAGCCATCGAGGCCTTAAGTATCTACCTGGTGCTCAGGACTTTATTGTTAGCTTGCATATGGACAGAACCAGATATTGATTTATTTATACATCTTGTCTTCTTGGACCTTGTGATCCGGCGGGCTTTATGCGTGGATGCAGGTTGTGGTTGCCCGTCCCGGGCTATTAGAAGTGTTGGGAATCTATTTTCCAACTACTGAAAGATACCATCTCCATTACTTTCTACTACCTGAAGGTCTACCATTGTACTATCATAATTTTAACATGTATTTTTGGATATTTGTCAAATACATCCTCAGCTTGTTAGAAATATCTTTAAATGAGAAGCACAGCTTTAGGCCAGTGGTTCCCAAATTGTTGCAGCAGTACCCTGGGGAACTTTAAAATACTGATGCCTGTGTCCACTTGCCTCTCTCCCATCCCCCGAAGACTGTGGGGTGTGAGCTGTACTTTTCCTTTTTTTTTAAGATACTCAGGTGACCTAATGTGCAGCAAATGAGGGAATCGGGGTTTTAGGCCTTATCAGTGATTTACACAATATTGTTAGTTGGTACATTTATTTCTTTAGAATCTGTTATAAATTATGAGTGGAAAAAGTCTGGACACACTAGAATATGTGTGTTTCTGTGTGTTGGGTGTGTTTTGTGGAAGGAGAAAAATATTTTTCCCGTTTGAGGAATGCTGCCATAAAAGATTAGCTCACACAAGGAAAGCAATTGAAAACGATGTATTGAATAACATAGACTATTGCTTAAATTATGTGCTACATTGAGCACTACCGCCTGTGTCTGCCATCGGAGTCAGAAAATGGAATTACATACTCATTTCTTCTCCTTTCTTCATCTTTCGTCGTTTCCCAAAGGAGAAAAGAATGTTCTGATTACAGGCATAGCTACAGCAAAGTCTTTATTACTTAGCATGAGTGGTAAAAGCAATTTGGTGTGATACGTAAAGTCAAATAACATTATTATCTTTTATTTATAAGTCACTGAATTTTGCCAGTGAAGTAGTAACAAGTAATAACTGCTGGTGTCTGGTTTGGGAATCACCCAACTCAATAACCTCGGGAAGAAAATGAAGTAGGTTACTCAGCAGGCAAAGATGTGTCAATTGTCAGATTTCATTTTGAAGCTAGAGTGAGCTGGATGAAATTGCACCATTGCCAGCTGGCAACTTCTTGAGTGATTTGCCCACTTAAAAGAGTAAAGTTCAGATGTTTGAAAGATCTGATGCTCCTCCAAAACCCCTAGTGAATTTCCTCAACTTGGTCTATACTATTTGAGGAATAAGATTCAGCATCCTCATATATGCTTAGGAAAGCCTTTTTTGTTTTTTTTTAAATTACCACATGCCGTAGCAGGAGAGATTACAACCAATGCAAACATGCAGCGGCACCCCAGACACACGCAGGGGGTTTGAACAGAGATCAAAGAATGGATGGTTTAAAAGATGGGACACAGCAGTCATGTCTTCTTTGGGTGTTAATTAAACAGCAATTCTTAGTGTTATCACTTCTTAAGATTACTTTTGGAGTTCGAGGGGAATCCACATGTTGACATGAAATCCTGTCTTCCTTGTTGATGATAATTCTCTAAGGGGGAAGAAACTGGAAGGCTTTTAAGAATAGTGGGGTAGTTCAATTTAGTTGATCATAACATCTCTAAATATGTTGATTTCACAGTGGCCTTGGAAATGTTAGTCATGTGTCCCTAAATGCGACCAGTGCAACCCATGTCCATTCCAACATCCGGAGCCTGATTGAAGAATCAGAGAAGTTGGTGAAAGATACTCTCAGGACTGAAAGAAAGGCAAGCGTGGTAAGAAATGCCCTGGGGGCTTCCGTGTGCGCCTTCCTTTTCGGGGCACTGTGGGGCAGCGATCCTGCCATGAGGTGCTTGAGCAGACATGCAGTGGCTTAAATCTATGCTCGTCAACATTCTTTTCTGGTGGGATCTGTTTAAGGCTTCTGTCATCATGTGACGTAAGTTTTCATTTCCTAAGTCGTAAGTAATTCTTAGAACAAAAATGATAATGCTGCTTGATACCCACTTGAGACAGCTCTTCTTAGCCGCGGTGAAGATCTGCATTTAATGGCTGTTTTTGTGTTTATAGATTTAAAAATGGCTGTGTTCCTTCTCTTCAGCCACAAACTAGAACATATATTAAACGTAAGATAGGACAGTTTAAATTGTCCTTGCCTGTTATCTCGCTGACTTCCTTGTTTGGAACTACACTGGAGGCTATTCTGATAGAATGAAGTTGCTTTCTCCACCTCCGCCCTGCCCTCCAGTTGCTATGTTTAAATTGTTCTGTTTTACAGGCCTCAGAATCTCTTGTTTCTAATGGGAAAGCGGCTCTCCAGCGCAGCGCTGAATTTCTAAAAGAAGGCAATAGCCTGAGCAGAAAGCATGGAGGTCAGTTTCCAGCTTGGACTGTGTTGATATTGGAGTGATTGTGGACACATCTCTGAACATACTTCCAGAGCATTCATCTTTCCTGGAGCAATTTGAAGCTTAACATTTCTTTGTCACAATAATATTCCAGTTTCCTATCATAGACACATCATATAATTTTTATTTTAGTGATATCTCATTTAATGTGCAGTCCCCTCCAATCTTCCATAGACTCGATAAGCCTTCCGTGAGAACCAAAACCTCTACTCGCTGCTTTAGTGCCTGAGCCCTGGCTGTTCTTCATAGCGTTTGTCAGGTTATCTGTGATTTCATGTGCTTCTCTATTCATCTCTCAGGGTTTCACAGTTTCTTGAAGAGATGTATTATGTTTTTGTTTTTTTTTTGCGGTATGTGGGCCTCTCACTGCTGTGGCCTCTCCCACCGCGGAGCATAGGCTCCGGACGCACAGGCTCAGCGGCCATGGTTCACGGGCCCAGCCGCTCCGCGGCATGCGGGATCTTCCTGGACCAGGGCACGAACCCGTGTCCCCTGCATCGGCAGGCGGACTCTCAACCACTGCGCCACCAGGGAAGCCCAAGATGTATTATGTTTGATTCCTCTTGTGTCTTCTTCATAGGGCTAATGTAATGTTAGACTCGTGATAGGTTCTTATTAAATAATTACTGAATTAAATAAATTGATTTATCTTTAAAAAAATACCTATGCAGTTTCATTTTTCCCAAGAGTTTCAGTAAGCAGTTTTGGCATATGTAAGAGTTATCCAATAAGCATAACACAGAATGGCAGAGGAATCTGTTGTGGAAGAGAAACATACAAGTTTTATAACGTATAGTGTACCTATCACCTTAATATACTCTAATACAACAAAAATATTGTCTTTTCCTATGGGAGTAAATGGTGGGCCATAAACAAGGCTCATACCCCCTAGGCTACTTCCATGTCCAGTCCTGGACCCTTCCACAGCCAAGGGCTTGGATAGGTGCATATTTTTTGTTTCTCTGTGAGTGGCACAATTTAGAATTTATGTTCATCTCACAATATAAAAAGTCCCTAATTCTCAATCATAAAGCTTTAAACACAGACTCTAGCATCACTGCTGATGGGCGGTAGCTTTAGTTTACATAACTAAAGGTATTTTGTAGGCCACAAAATAGTGAACTTTCTGGCAATTAAAATTTTATGCAGAACCATCATGTTCATCATGGATTTTATCAATAATTTATTTTTTAACCAGGTGTTCAGAATCCAAATGTGATTGTGTATTACGAACAGCAATTTTAAAAGCAAAAGCTTTGATCCAACAGCTTTGATCAAACATGAAGGAGGACAAGTTGAGTGCCTATTGGGTGGTCAGAAGGGAGCAGGAAAGTAGGGGAGGGACCCTGGCTGAGAAGCAGGTGGGGGACTGAGAAGAAGATTCCAGAGCAGGAGCCCATGTTTGGGGTCTTACAACCTAGGGGACAAAGGTGGCCAGGACTTGGGCGTGGATAGGAAGTTAGTAAGTCTGATTAAGACTGAGTGACTTAAACACAGTTTTTCACCCTAGAGCTCTGATTAAATTGGACATGAATTTAGGAAGAAATATTAGTGCGAAGGGAAACAAAGTAGAAAAGATGATCAAGTAAGCCCCAAAACACACAATTTTTATAATGAGTGGTGTTATTTCTTGCTGGAAAAACTTTCAATATTTGGGGTCTCTGTAGAAAGCTGCTGATTTTATAGATGGGTCAGGAATGATAAAGCTCTCATGTAGGCAACTTTTTAGGACTAGCCTAAAAGGGAACACTTTTTCCCCTTTGAATAGGTATCGCGTTGGAACTGAGTGAATTGAAAAATACTGCAAAGAGATTTCAAGAGAATGCTGATAAAATTACTAAGCAGACCAATGAATCACTCTTGATACTTGGAGCAATTCCTGAAGGTAAGTGGAAGGGGGGGTTCTTGATTTAATTAATATCTTCTCATTGCAAAACCCTTACACATGAGCGTGAGGAAGACCTGCCTCAAGTCTGATGGAGACCCCTCACCCGAAATGAGGCCAAGATTGGTAGAGGAATATGGTTTGGAAGTGAAGATCATTATGTTTTTTATAACATCAGAACACCTGCATTGAAGTAGTAGAGTTATACCTGAAGAACAAAAGCCTTAGATTCTTTATGCTACCGTATTAATTGCTTACTTTTAAAATGGGCCTGAGATGAAAGAAGGGCCATTCAAAGAAGCCAGGAAGTAAAGAAGCTGGAACGTTCCTGCTTTAGGGGGAAATGCTAGATTCATTACAAATGTGGGAAATTAGAGAATTCTTGCTTGGAAATTAAAGAAATCTTCCTTTGTGAGGTGATAAGCATTCTAAAATAGATCACTTTAATACTGATGGTTTGGAAATGCAGTGTTCATTAAAATTTTTAATAGGATAACTTTTAAAAAGTATAACACAGGCGAGTTGTGCTGCAGTGATTTATTTATTTTACACTCCTTCAACCTTTTTTTTTTATAAGATTATTTTAAAAGTCTTATAAGACAGCCAAACATCTCCAAAGTTCTTCTGTCTGCTGGTTCATCTTATAAGCATGAAAGTTACCGTGGGGAGCTGGACTTGCGGCGCTTTGGACTGACTTAAATCAATGGAACATTTTCTGATATGGAAATTTCTTTTTCACTTATTTATCTGTTTTTAAGGATACATGGTGTATGTTGATCAAGCACTCAAAAATAACTTTTTGTTTGGAAGCAATTTCCAACTTGCCAAAAAGTTGCAAGAAGAGTAAAAAGAACACCTGCATACCCTTCATCCAGCTTCTAGTGTTAATCTTTGCCCCGTTTGTGATTGAACACTTTAAAAATGAATACGAGTGCCTTTAAAAAAACCCATCCGCCAGATTTTCTAGAATAACTGAATTCCACTTTATCTTTAGTGACCATTTAGTTTTTCCTGCACTGTTGTTTCCAGCAGCCAGTTGATGTTGTGGGCAGGTACACTTCCTCTAGCCTAGGATACTTCCATGTCACGTACAGATTTAAATTCCCAAACCTTCTTATCTAGACGCAGAATGATTTGGAGATGGCGTTAATGACCATGAGAAGGGAGTGATAGGAAAGGGACCAAAGAAAGAAGTTTAGATTATTAACGTGTAAGACGCTGAGCACATGGCATCTCATTGTGTATTGAAATCATATATCAATACAGAGGGTTGTCATCAAAAATATTTCATTCATCCATAAAAGGAAGCAGTAGAGCATATGATATGCAGCCTTAATATTGCCATTAAAAACAGAAGCCCCCTTTTGTGTTCAACAACCAGCAAAAAATTCTGTAACATGTGTCTATGTAAAATTACATTTGTTGTGGTTTTTTGGTTTTCTCTGTGTATAACCACCAGAGTGCATGCTTGCGTATAAATTTATTTCAGGTGTCAGAGACAAAGGCACAAAAATCAAAGAGCTGGCCACATCTGCAAATCAGAGCGCTATGAGCACTCTAAAGAACGTCGTGGGATTGGGCCAGAAGCTGTTGAATACGTCCACTGACCTGTCCAGGGTTAATGCCACGTTACGAGAAACAGAAGAACTCCTCCGTGACTCCTCAGTGACCAGTAGGTCGTGGTCGCCCCTCCCATTAGGAAAGTCTGCGTCGAGCCGTTTGAGTTTGCCAAGGGCACAGTGGTGCCTTGTTCACAAACAGCAGTCCTAAAAAATAAAAATGCACCAACATCTGGATTTGCACTTACAAAAAGAGAAGGGCCTTGGGTGATGCCTTGTGCTGGTGCATTTTTCATATATTTACCAAAATGCCAAGGATTTGATTATTAGGATATTCTGGTTTATCCAGTGCATTAGTAATGACCAATTCATTTCTCTCGTTTCCTCCCTCCTGCCAACTTTCTCGCCACCTCATATTTTAGCTTTGTTGGCTGGAAGAAAAGTCAAAGATGTGGAAACACAAGCGAACCTTTTATTTGATCGGCTGAAGCCTTTGAAGATGTTAGAAGAGAACCTGAGCAGAAACCTATCAGAAATCAAACTGCTGATCAGCCAGGCCCGGAAGCAAGCAGCGTCTGTGAGTGCCCAGCACCCCTGCAGCTGAGGCTCCTGGAACTGCAAGTCCCAGAGGCCTCCTGTGCAAAGGGCCTTCGGCCACACTTTCTACTAACCAGCTCTCAGTAACCCCAGCTTCCTCACAGCCTTGTCTCCAAGTATATTTAAAGCCTCGTCTTATATGTATTTACCTAAGTATATTTAAGTCTATTTAATTAGTCTCATTTTCTTTGAGTCTTGCTTTTTTCGGTGTGTTTCAGAATGTTGTTAGCAAAGAGATCTCTGTGTCCTTATGGACATTTATCATCGTGGCCTAGATTTATAGATCTGCACCAATTAGCTAGATGGTGCAGAACACATTAGGCCTGAGTGTCAGCATCCCTGTAAGTCTCACTGGTTGCATATGGTGCTATTTCCATCATTTTACCAACTTTGTGTTCATAATCCAAGTAATCTTCAGAAGGTTCACACAGTGTGGGCCTCGTCTCCGTGATTCTGACAAAACAGCTTGAACTGCATGAATGCTGCACAAATCCAGGTCACTAACTGCATAAAACACACAATTTGAGAGACTGCTTCCTGGTCATCCTCGGCACATGGCATTGGCCATGCACCAAAGGAGAGGCATTTCAGGGAAATAAGACTTGAGAGAATATCATTTGTCTTGATCCTGGAGACCTGTGGACAATAGATGTGACCTCTGGTCTAAAGAGTATCTTCCTGAAGTTTCTAGCCAAGAAAAAGGAGCTGTGGATTCTTTGATCCCTGAGTGACTTCACTTTGGGAAAAGGGCTGTAGGTTTACAAGAGCTCTGGTTTCCATCTGTTTTAGTTCTAGTCACCAAATAAATGTAAACCCGATGGATGGTTCCAAGTGCTCTGGTTAATATAAACTTATAATCTTGAAGGTTAATATAAGGATTATATGCAAGTAATTACTTATCAGAGAAATATGTAAGTGAAATAATTGCTCTATAAATATTTGCTGAGTAAGTAGATCAACCCTCCATTTATTCCATACATGATCATCAAATGTCCTGTGTCAGGTATAAGATTCCAAGGTGATTTGGATAAGCTCCTTGTCTTTAAGGAATTAAATCTCACATGACAGAGTTCCCAACATAAAATTCCCTTTTAAAACCTGACTGACTTTTCCATATTAAAATATTTTACCAAATAAAGTAAGTTTCAGCATCATCTGGCTTTCACCTTATGAGACACGAAGCACTGTGCATATCCAGAGAGGAAACCTACGAGCAGTGACGACCTGGAACAGAACAGCACTGTTCAACGCCAGGCGTGCTGCCACCGTGTGGCCCTAAATGATTTTTAGGCACTTAGGAACACTTCCGTTTTCCTTCTACAGATCAAAGTTGCCGTGTCTGCAGACAGAGACTGTATCCGGGCCTACCAGCCTCAGATTTCTTCTACCAACTATAACAGCTTAACACTAAATGTGAAGACAAGCGAACCTGACAACCTTCTCTTCTACCTGGGGAGTAGCATCAGTGTGAGTATGACCCGCAAAAGCAACGCTGAGTCTCTTAGGGACAGAGTATATTTTCTGAATCGGTTAAAAAAAAATAGGGCCTTTGTGAAATCACTAATTCTTCTATGAGAACTAATCTTTTGCTAAACTGGTAACATTAGATTAAAAATAATCAAACTACAGAACTGAATGCCCGTGAGGAGAAGAGTGGCATTTATGAAAAGTACCTCCCTCTGCCATCTTAACTGTGAGCTGTGGGACAGAGCTTTTCTTAATGTCTCCTGTGACCTCCGAAGCCACGGAGTTATGCTTTGGGTCTGTGGACATTGGCCGCTGTTACCAGGAGTGGAGGCGTGCACCACAAGGGGCACATCAGAATCGTCAAGCTTCCCCCCAGGCTATTCCACCCAGCGAGATTCCCAGGGTTCCCAGAGGGCACGCCCTCTATGGAAGACTACTGATTCATTTGACTGTGTCATTGGGAACAGGTCAGAGCCCTTGGGTATGTTAGGGCAGAAAATATTAGCAAGCACAAATGCCATCTGAAATGTCTTCTTAAGATACAAGGTGCAAAGCACAGGTCAGTCCGTGATGTACGATTTCATGGCTCCTGTCTCGCTGTACATCTCACGTTCGTGCATTGCCTTCTCAGACTGGGCAAACAAACAAGTGCAATGCCTCCCCTCATGACCCCGGTAGAGGCTGGTAACCCCCAGCAAGTTTTCTTGGAGAACTTGATGGGAGGCTTCATGGAGGGCTACGCTGGGCAAGGGTGGTAGGCACTGATGGCCAACGGTGGCCACCATCTCCAGTACCAATACTCCAGGTCATGCTCCAGCTCCAGGGAGGGGAGCATTTAAAGACAGAAGACGATCTTCTTTGTTTTCTACTTAAAAAAAAATTTTAAAGTAGAGAAAATGCTGTAAGAATCATCTTTTAAAGTGTTTGGTGGTCATGCACACCGTCTGGCGTGTGAACTCATCCCAACTCATGCCCTGCACCCCAGGCTGACTTCCTGGCAGTGGAGATGCGGCGAGGGAAAGTGGCCTTCCTCTGGGATTTGGGCTCCGGGTCCACACGTTTGGAATTTCCAGACTTCCCGGTTGATGACAGCAAATGGCACAGTATCTATGTAACCAGGTAGCAGAGAAAGTTCTTTCTGAGCATCTCGCATCTTATAAGTAATTACATGTTTGTAACATCATATAACTGTCTTCAAAATTTCTGGGAAGTCAGTGAAAGGATACTTGGTTTAGATTAACTATAGAAATAACTTTTTTTCATCATTACAGAAGAAATAAAGTTTGTTAGCAAAACCAACAATCAAAAGAAGAAAAGAGTTAAAAGTTTATGTTGCCTTGAGAATGTTAGGTCCAAGTCTGAGGCAGCCAACCCAGTAAAATGTTTGCGCCCCAGCAGAGGGAAGTAAAGTGCAGCGTGGTGGAGATGCCACGTGGCTGGCAGTGGTACAAGTAGGACAGAAGATGAGGGTACAAGTGGGGGATGTGTTTTCTCAAAATTCAGGCACGAAGCAAAATTCTTCCTTTTAAAGCCCCTCTCCAGAGGCAACTGCTGTTAAGTGGCTGTAGGTATGGCTTTCTTTTCACTTTTCTGTAATATCATAGTTGGTTGGTGATGGTGTGTTATTGGAAATTTCTGATTTTTACTTTGTTATTTGAAAAAATGGGGTAATGATAAAGGCAGTAGACTGTTCCAAATATATTTAGTTCATTATCTGAAACTATTTTAAGCAAGGAGGTAACGTGATGGAATTTATGTTTTAAGAAGAAATACTCCACAAGATTTTGGAGTGCAAACTAGGGGCAGGATGGGCAAGACTGGAAGCAGGGAGACCGGTTGGAGACATGGGCAGAAGCAGGTGGAGGCTGTGTGTGAAACAGATGTGTGTGTATGTGGACCAACTTGCAATTCTGCAGGTGCTCTTTTTGCAACTCTGTGACCCTTAGGTTTGGAAACATTGGTTCGGTGAGTGTAAAGGAAATGAGCGCATCTCAAAAGCCACCACCAAGAACAAGTAAATCCCCTGGAACAGCTAATGTTCTGGATGTAAACAATTCAACACTAATGTTTGTTGGAGGGCTTGGAGGACAGATCAAGGTAATCTGAACATTCATCTGAACAGTGCTGATTGGTTGATTTTACCAGTGTAGAAAATGAGTATGTTTAAATGTTTGAAAATATCCTGGGCAGATGAAGATTTTCCTGCTTCTGTTATTTTGTTTAAGGACAGTTCATCTGCAGAGTTGGGTTGGTTCTGTAAAGGATCATGCTTAATGGATAGCATAATGGAAAAGAAGCCAGTGGTTCATTTTATTATCTGGTTTTTTCCCCCAATAATAAAAGAGGAATCTCAATATTCCACATGAATTTCTGTGAACTCCCTTTATCTCTGTTCTGACTCTAGTGGTGGGCCAATACTAATTAGCAGTTAGCAGAGGAGCCCATCGTACATTTTATTACATCAGTTACCCTCTCACCCAATAAAGTTCACTCACCTGGACTTGGTTCAGTGCTCTGAAATGAGAGTAAGGGTCCCAGTTCCCGGCAGGTCCTCACCACTGACCACATTCTCTGGGTCTCTTTCCTCATTAGTTAAAGGGCCTTCTCTCCAGTGACCCTAGTAACTGACATGACCTTTGAGATCTCGTCCTGCTGTGTTCATTCTAGGATTCCAATTCATAATTGGAAGGAAGTTCAGTGATTACAAACTGGTCATTTTCCTGGATGTTGTTTTCTCAAAATTTGGATCTGTTAGATTTGAGCTCCCAAGGAGGAGTTTTGTGCACTTAGAGAATATATTTCTTTTCACCAAATATACTTGGATTATGTTTGTTTGTTTGTTTACATTAGAAGTCTCCTGCTGTGAAGGTTACTTATTTTAAAGGCTGCATGGGAGAGGCCTTCTTGAATGGACAGTCGATTGGCCTATGGAACTATATTGAAAGGGAGGGAAAATGCCATGGCTGCTTTGGAAGGTAACGTGCCCCATGAGTAACACATAAGATGCTAATATGCACGGTAACACTGTCCCGGGAGAAGGTTAGAGTTGCAGCATTTCCCAAACTCATTTGACCCTGATCTCTTTTTAAAAAGCATTCCAGAGCTGTTTATGTTCCATAGAACATACTTTGCAAGTACTGAAGTAGACACAAATAGGTGCTTTATGTCTACATTTGTAAATGGATTAAAACTGTCTTCATTTTCGATAAGTGCCCCTACCTACTAGCCAAAACCTTTAGCTCAGTGAGTTAATAAACTACTTCTAGCACTGGAATCCATTTGGGCGGGCCAGTAATTAGAATTCATTGCGCTTTTTACCTTTGTGTGTAATTTTCCATTATTAAATCATTAGCATGGTCCATTGATGTCCTTTAGATTTAAAAACTTTTTTTCTTATAATCATTTACCTTTAACTTTGATTTATATTACCAAGTAAGCTAACTGATTTTTTTTATTCTTCTTTGAATATACTTACACTTCTCTAACATGGTGTCAGCATATGTTTATAATTATGAACAATCTCTCAGATCCTTCAAGGATAGTATAAAATAAACCATTGATTCTAACAGTTCACATCTAAATATGGGAAAAAAACTTTCATTTAGTCAACAGGCCTTTATTCTTTTTTTTTTTTTTTTTTTTTTTTTCGCGGGCCTCTCCCTTTTGTTGCCTCTCCCGTTGCGGAGCACAGGCTCAGCGGCCATGGCTCACAGGCACAGCCGCTCTGCGGCATGTGGGATCCTCCCGGACCGGGGCACGAACCCTTGTCCCCTGCATCGGCAGGCAGACTCTCAACCACTGCACCACCAGGGAAACCCAGGCCTTTATTCTTGTGTTAGTTTTGAGAGGCTGTTGCAATAGAGCATTGGCTGCATGGCTGACCTTGACCGGACAGTCATCTGTTTCTGGGCCCTCTGCTCGGTACTGGTGATGGCAACATCAGTCACCCAAGCTTATCTCCTTCAATGTCTCATGGTCTACGTAAAATTAACTAAAATACTTCTTTGTGGTAACATAAAAAAGAGCTCCGCGCTGTAGGGGCGATGGTAGGTAGAGCATCCTGGGCGTGGCGCCCGAGTGATGCCTCCTCACTCACGGGACAGCTGCACGGAGTCTGACAGGTCCCCCCATCTCATGGGTGCCAGCTTGGATCAGAGCAGTCTAGTCATTCTTCCAGGGTCACGGGGCTGAGAGCTGGGAGGGAGGGCGTCTGCCCGGTCCTCCTGACCGCAGGGCTCCCCCCGGCCTCCCATAAATGCTGGGTGCTGGAGGAGAGCCAGCCATGAAGTGCTGTGGCAGACCCTTTGTCATTTGTCCCGGCCTCTTACCCAGGCAGGGGCCTGGAGCTGCCTTTCTGAGGCCCAGCTGGGGAAAGGCATATGGGCCTCATGGTTATAGAACGGAAATCTGACCCACAGCGGACGAGCCCCAGAAATGTGCCGCTGACCCGAGGGATGTGAGCCTTCTCAGGAGAATCGCATTCAGTCATCGTTTCCTTTGCATTCATCCCTTTTGGTGGCCACCTGACTGGGGCAGGCCCTGCTGAAGGAGAGAAGCCAGAAGCAAAGACTCAACCTTCCTGAGAACAGAGAACTCCTAAGCTCTGGGGAGGGAAAGGGCAGACGGATTTCTGGAATTTCGTTTGAAACCTGGCTTTGCATTTTCTTGTGTGTGTTCTTGGGCAAGAACTTAATCTTTGAGGCTCAGCTTTTAATAGGCAAAATGGGACCCCACTAGGACCTCTGAACACAGTACAATTCTCAGAGCTAAACCAGAGTGAACATTTGCTATGTACCAGGCACCGTTTAAAGAACTTTACATGTATTAAATCATGTATAGCTCTTCCAGAGAGGTTCTAGTGTTACCCCTATTTTACAAATGAAGGAAATGAGACACAGAGGGGTTAGGTAACTTCTCTGAGGTTACACAGCTAGTAAGTTAGGGAGCTGGGATTTGAACCCTAGCAATCTGGTTCTAGAGTGTGTGTCCTTAGCTACATGAAACCGGTTGCCAAAAGATAAAGCAATGGGACATGCTTCTAGGAGGCCAGAGTTTTAAGGATTAAATAATTGAGAATTAGCCCACAGTTTGTTTATGCAGAGTACATTTCCTTAAAGTTATACTTCCTTATAAGAGATCTCAAGACAGAAATTTTTAGAAAAAGCAGGACTGTAGAAAGCTATGAATTTGAAAGCTCAGGTCTTACAAAGCACTGCTACATTTTGTTTTGTTAATGGAAACAGTCTCACTGTTGGGTATTCTGTTCCTGCTTGGAGATGTGACACAGAGCGGTTATTGCACCTTCAACTGGGAAAAATGCAAATTCTTACCCCAAAACACCCTAATCTCATTCCCTCTCGAGCCCTATGACATTCCAGAAAAGTACTTTTTGAACATAAGAATATGTTCTAAGTACTTTGTACCTGAAGAGTGACTCAAGTCAGTTTTTTGAGACGTTGGGAAAACTGGAAAACACTTATCTAAGAAGTGCTGGGGTCCATGGTATATAACTGCTGTAAGCTCATCCTGCAGATTTTTGAGATTCTTTTTTGTCAATGATATTTTTGCAAACTGATCCTTTTGGCACATTGGTACATATTTGTTTTCCACCATTAGTCCAGTTTAGTTGAATTAGTTAAAAATGAGCATAAGGTGATACATGCCAGTAAAAAAATTTATTCTGAAAGTGCTGGAATTAAGAAAGGACATTAAAGGGAACTAGACATTAAGGGACATCAAAGTCACATTAAAGAGAATTAGAACAAATGAAAATCTAGTCACTAAGTAGAACTGTTTATAGCAGTAATCCATCCTTTGAGGGAATTTCTTTTTACTACAGTGAACACTGCCCATGTTGACTTTCATTTCCTTACAAGGCAACTGGGTGCTTGTCTCGCATAATCTCATGGGGAGCGTATTTTAAGATATTATGACTTACACTTGTTATCAATTTATGGAAATAAATGCTCTATCACAACTTTTGTGAGGAAGAACTCAGTAAGAGTATCATGTATTCTATTTAACTACCTTCCTAAGAATAGATTGTGCTTCACCTTCTCTCCTTGCAGCCCCCAAAATGAAGATGCTTCCTTCCATTTTGATGGGAGTGGGTACTCTGTCGTGGAGAAGATGCTCCGGGCTACTGTGACGCAGATAATTATGCTTTTTAGTACCTTTTCCCCTAATGGGCTGCTTCTCTACCTGGCTTCAAATGGCACCGTAAGAGTCTGTGGGGCCCTGCCCCCTACTGTGTATATACAGCTGGATTGCTATGAGGATATTTACGTTTAATGATTGTTTTATGAGCACATGCTAGTATAATATGTACGTATGTATGCCATATCAATCCCCCTTTTTAAATGATTTATCAGTACAAAACTATTGAAGAATGTTTGGAAAATATAGAAGCATATCAAGTAGAAAATAGCTTCCTATCATTATAAATATCAGTTGAACATTTATTATTAAATTTTGAGCTTGAATAAGACGTCTTGTTTTACTCACTCTGACCACCTTATTTGAATTCCATTGCAGGAAGTTCATGTTCTTATTTTTATCTTATGTGCTGCTGATTTTTCTCAAACTTCTAGTTTTATTTTTAGGATTGGCCCAGTTGTCAATCTAAATGAAAAAAATAGAGATTCCACTTCTCTTCCTGCATTGTAGATTTTGATTACCATGAGCTTATCTGACATATGTCTGTATATTATTCTAGAAAGCCTTTGTGGACACTTTTAATTTTGGACTGTTGGGCCAGATCCTGTTTTCTTAGTTTGACTGTAGGAGGTTTCCGCCATCCCTGACTTGAAGAGAAAGGAAATACTGTGATAATAATGGAGCCTTGGGTAACTGTTTTCTTTATTACAGAAAGACTTTTTATCCATCGACTTGGTCGACGGCAGAGTTAGAGTTACAGTTGACCTGGGTTCTGGGCCTCTTGCTCTTACTACCGACAGACGCTATAATAATGGAACCTGGTACAAAATTGCTTTCCAGCGAAACAGAAAGCAAGGTAAATGCACAGGTAGACGGACGGAATGTCGGTCGCCCTCATAGGAATAGAAATCTTCCCAAAGTCAGCAGTGTTTTTTTACTTTAGCTTTCTAGGTATTCTTAAATGATATTCTAATCAAAAGCCATTGTTTTCTTTGGAATACTAAGCACCAGGATTCACATTTTGCTGGAGGAATATTCTAATTCTCTGTCTGTGGTTTCCAAATGCATTTTAACGTTAAATGCTGAATTGGAATCAAGGATCAAATTGATTCTGTTTTCTTTGACACACATACTGCTACCATTTAGCGTGTATATTCTGGATTTATTGACTTTTGTAAAGAGGGTTTTCATTTGTCTTTTAACAGTTAAGAACATCCCCTGGTCAAATTTGCAGAATGTAAAAGAATATGTCTTTGTAAATGACCTTTGTTATACGTCTGTGTTTACTTTCTTGTAGAAAGTGACTCATTTTCTTGTCTATTCCTCTTGATCTTCTCTAGGACTCCTAGCAGTTATTGATGCATATAACACCAGCTACAAAGAAACCAAGCAAGGGGAAACTCCAGGAGCATCTTCTGACCTCAATCGTCTAGATAAGGATCCAATTTATGTGGGTGGATTACCTAGGTCAAGAGTTGTAAGGTATGATATCACATTGCAGAATTTTCATGTCCCTAATTACCAACTGCCTTAGTTTCCGTAACAAAGTTCCACAGACTGGGCAGCTTAAACAACAGAAATGTGTTCTCTCACAGTTCTGGAGGCTACAGTTCCAAAATCAGGTGTCAGCAGGACCGCTTCCTTCTGAGGATTGTGAGAAAGAATCTGTTCCATGCTTCTCTCTGAGCTTCTGGTAGCTTCAGGCATTGCTCAGCTTGTAGGTGGCATTCTTTATCTGTGTGGACACGCTGTCTTCCCTCTGTGTGTCTCTCTCAGTGTCCAAATTTCCCCTTTTTATAAAGATACCAGTCATACTGGATTAGGACCTACCGTACTGACCTCACCTTAACTTGATTACAACTGTAAAGACCCTATTTTCAAATAAGGTCACATTCACAGGTACTGGGGGTTAGGATTTCAAAATCTTTTGCTCGGGGTGGGGAAACACCATTTAACCTATAACGTTCTGTTTTGATTAGTATGCCATATAATTGAGAAGTAAAGAAAGCCTTCTGCAATAGAATTTATGATTTTCTATTTATTGCCTACAAAACATCTAAAAATTGTTACTGTGCAATATTTGGAGACCCACTTTCCATCACACGTCACTCTCCTGTCCAGACATTCTAGAGTGGTAGAATCTTTTTGGTGACAAAAAGAAAGGAATCATGCTTTCTGCAGACTTACCTGGATTCCCCTTTTGGTGATTAGAATGAATAATGTATGTGAAAGTTTAAAGACCAGCATCAGCAAGTTGGATTAAAGGTAGCAGAGGAGAGATGCACTGATTCTTGTTCTTGTTTAGCTTTGTGACTTTAATAATTTCATAAACTTTCTGTAGTTTACTGTCCTCAATTTTGTAATTTTGGACTGGGGACAAAGAAAGGTCTAAGTTTCTTTCACACCATTATAAAAAAGGCATATATGGCCAGCAGTCAAGGCAGCCTAGCTTCCAGGGAGTGGAATCACCAAATGTCCAAACCGAGTCACTCAGGTTTTCAAATGTATATTTGTAGCAGTACCTCATCTTCAAGCCAGGTTCTTATACAGAAGTGCAGCCACTCCAGTTGCTATGGGTTGAGCAGCCCAGAATCCACTTCCTGACACACCCCCTTCTCTGCCAGAAATGTGCGAAAGTTCCAAGGAACATCGTTTACAACCACAGTCACCCACCTTCAGGGTCTCGGAAATAAATGTCCCAAAACTTCAGGGGAGTTGGTCGCTTGTCCCAGGTCTTACCCCTCTGCCAAGGCAGAGCCAGGACTGGAAGCCTCTCCCCTAATCCCTGATTACAGATGTCATTCCTAACATAGTGGCGTTGGGGATGTTTCTGAGGTTACAAGCTGTGTTGTAATTCATTTGTTCTTTACCTAAATGGTACACAGCGTAGACCCTGGAGAAAAGGACAGAGTCCCTTTACTAGGAAGACATCTCAAATCACAGACTTTCATGATAGATGGGTCTTGGGTATCATCGGGGCCAGTCTCCTCATTTACAATGGAAGAAACTGAGATTCGGAAAGGTTGAAATTTGCCCTAAATCATGTGGTTTCTTAATGGCCGACAGCTCATTGCACAGCACAGAGAAAAAGTGAGATATGACATGTAGCAAGAAGCCATGTTCCTGCACAGTTCTCCTGTCACTAGCTGAGGCTTCAGGGTGTAACTGGGAGATGTTCAGTAGTCTCCATCATTTGGAAATGTTAGCCTGAGTACATTGAAGCTCACCTCACCCAGCAGAGTGGCAATTTCTGTTAATAAAAATATGGAATTGGCTTAGTATCAAAGAAATAAGGGTTCTGGATAATCCCAGACTTCACCAAATGCAGTTATTTCCTTCAGGAGGAAGTGCATGAATATGTGGTATGGACAAGAGCCGATGCTGTCTCTAACCAAGAGATCCTGGGAAATCACATTGCCCACACTTGCCCCCGTGGGAGGTGAATGTTTGCTCTACACGGAGACTGGATTGAAATCTAAGCGCTATAATTTCCTTATGGCAGTGCACTGTCTCTCTTATAATTAGCCTCTGTTTTAGTGAGTATATCTAAATGGTAATGACTATAATAGTTTCCCTTAAAATATTAAGCATGCTTTTATCTAGGTAGCCATCTAGGTAATCAGCCTCACTAAATTCAATCCCTTTCTTTAGTCCTAAGGAGAGTACATATTTGACCTGAATTCTCACCATCAATAGTCTTGTTAGAGGGAGATCTAGACATTTATGAGAATGACACATGGAAAGAGATCTTTCTTATTTGTAGGTCCATTTTTATTTCTTCTTTCAAAACTGGAGTTATAAAATCCAATTTTGTTGCTGTTGTTCTCTTGCCCTTCCCTACAGGAGAGGTGTCACCAGCAAAAGCTACGTGGGCTGTATCAAAAACCTGGAAATATCTAGATCGACCTTTGATTTACTCAGAAATTCCTACGGAGTGAGAAAAGGCTGTATACTGGAGGTGGGAAGTGTTTTATTAATATTGGGATGAGTTTCTATAAATGCCCACTGATTTACTAACATAATAAGGCAACAGGATCTAAACCAGGGGTGTGAACAGAAAAGAGGTGGTGGGGAAAACGGCAGCAGCCTCCAGGGTGGGAGGTTCAGCGTGCGGGTGGGCCTCACGGTGCTTTCTCCTCTCCTTTGTGACCAGCCTGTCCGAAGCGTTAGCTTCTTGAGAGGCGGCTACGTTGAATTGCCACCCAAGTCCTTGTCACCAGATTCGGAATTGTTGGCAACATTTGCCACCAGGAACAGCAGCGGCATCATCCTGGCTGCCCTGGGCCAGCATGGGGAGAAGCAAGGTCACCGGCAGGCCCACAAGGTGAGTGGCTCAAAGGCTCTCAAGCCAGGAGCTCAGGAAGGAAATGACTTCAGGAAACACTGGATGGAAGATGACTTAGTCATAACATGTATTCTACAACATGTGTGCCTGGTTGTTAATGGGTGTGCGTTTTTAATAAGTAAAAGTGATTATTGCTGAATGTCTTTCCCTTACGAATCAGCGGTCTCTTTGTGTTGCATAATCCATCTTCCTTGTCTAGCCATTGAGAAGAAAGATCCTTGCTGTCTACCTAGGATTCTTATAGGATAGGTGATATTTACCTTTCCTCTGCTTGAACTTTACATATTATGTAATTTGAAGAGATTCACAGAATACTAATGTATTGTATTAATGAAGTAGAAGCCATGCAGCTACAATTTAGAGTACTGTTCTCTACTGTGCAAGGTATTTTACAGACATTGCTGTATAATTATTACAGCCACACTTCAGGGTGAATGCTGCTTCCTATATTTTGCTGAGGGAGAAATGGATTCAGAGAGCCTGGCTAACCCGCACAAGATCACACAGCCGTTATTTCAGAGCCTGACCTGGAACACCAGTCTGTAGATCCCAGATACCTCACAAGACACTGAGTGAAGGTCTGACAAGGACAGATTGGTTTATGGGCTCCACCAATCTTTTTTCCTTTTTTTAAGTTGAGATGAAATTTACATAAAATAAAAGCAACCATTTTTAGGTGAAACAGTCAGTGGCACTTAGTGCTTTCATAATGTTGTGAGGCCACTTTCTCTGTCAAGTTCCAAAACATCTTCATCACCCAAAAGAGAGCCTATGCCTGTTAAGCAGTCACTCCCCATTCACCCCCTCCCCCAACCCTGGCAACCACCAGTCTTCTTTCTGTATCTATGAATGAATGTACCTATTCTGTATATTTCATATGAGTGGACTCGTATGAGTGATATTCTGTCTTTTACTTAGCATGCTTTCGAGGTCCATCCACATCGTAGCATGTATCAGCACGTCCTTCTTTTTCATGGCTGAATGTTATCCCACTGTATACAGAGCATAATTTATTAGTTCATTGATGGACGTTTGGGGTTGTTTCTACCTTTTGACTATTGTGAATAATGCTGCTACGAACATCTGCATACAAGTATTTGTTAGAGTACCTGTTTTCAATTCTTTTGGGTATATACCTATGGGTGGAATTGCTGGGTCATATGGGAATTCTATGTTTAACTTCTTGAGGAACTATCAAACTGTTTTTCTCCACCAATCTTAATAGGACCTCTTGTAAATCAAAATTTGCTACTAAGTCAGCAAAAAGGAACGGTGTCATCCAGTGCTGGCAAGACCTTGTGAAACACTCCCATTCCAGTTCTGCTGGTGGACCTCTCTCAATGTGGCAAAAGAGTGTTAAGAGCTTTAAACATTTTCAAACCTTCAACTCTTTAATCCCACCTTTAGAAATCTTAGAAAAATTTCACAGGCAAAAAAAAAAAAAACAAAAACAGTTAAATGTTCATTATGTATGGTAATTAAAAGTTAGAAACTACCTACATTTTTTAAAAAGGAATAGGTCCCACAGTGAGATTTCACCTCACACCTCTGAGAATGGCAACCATCAAAAAAGATAAGAGATGGGCTTCCCTGGTGGCGCAGTGGTTGAGAGTCCGCCTGCCGATGCAGGGGACACGGGTTCGTGCCCCGGTCCGAGAAGATCCCACATGCCACAGAGCGGCTGGGCCCATGAGCCATGGCCGCTGAGCCTGCACGTCCGGAGCCTGTGCTCCGCAACGGGAGAGGCCACAACAGTGAGAGGCCCGCGTACCACAAAAACAAAAAAAAGAAAAGATAAGAGATAACAAGTGCTGGTGAGGATGTGGAAAAAAGGGAACCCTTGTGCACTGCTAGTGGGAATGTATAATATATTGGTACAGCCACTATGGAAAACAGTATGGGGCTTTCTCAAAAAATTAAAAATCACACTCCCATATGATCCAGCAATTCCATTTCTGGGTATGTATTTGAAGGAAATGAGATCCAGCAATTCCACTTCTGGGTATATATTTGAAGGAAACGAAATCACTACCTTGAAGAGATAGCTATATCCTCTTGTTCATTGCAACATTATTTACTGTAGTCAAGACATGGAAACAAACTGAGTGTCTATCAGTAGACGAATGGATAAAGACGTGGTGTGTGTATATGTATACATATATATCAATATCTATCTATTATACAGTGGAATATTATTCAGCCATAAAATAGGAGGAAATCCTACCATTGAAAACAACATGCATGAACCTTGAGGGCATTACGTTAAATGAAACAGGTCAAAGAGAGAAAGACAAATACTGTATGATCTCACTTATATGTGGAATCTTAAAAAAACAAACTCATAGAGACAGAACAGATTAGTGGTTACCAGAGGTAGGGGCAGGAGAGAAGTGGGTGAAGGGGGGGTCAAAGGTACGAACTTCCAGTTGTAAGATAAGTTCTGGGGATGTGATGTACAGCATGGTGACTATAGCGACAATATCATATTGCATATTTGAAAGTTGCTAAGAGAGTAGATCTTAAAAAGTTCTCACTACAAGAACAAATTTTGTAACTATATGAGGTGATCCTTTACAGTATATTCAAATATCCAATGGTTGTGTTGTATACCTAAGACTAACACAATGGTATATGTCAATTATATCTCAGTAAAATGGGAAAGGGAGAAACAGATCAATGACTTACAATGTAACTGTTTGTTAGTACATAATGTAGCAATAAATAATAAGTATGAAGACTGTAGAAATGGAAATCTTTGATATGGTTAGTGATAATAGCATAATGCAGAATGTAAATTATGTCAGCAGAGGTTAGAAAGCAATATACAAAGTATAAAATAATTGTTAGATGGTGATATTCTTAAGGAACTGCTTCCTTGGTGCCAATACTCCCACATTACCTTCATAAGATGATAATTCTTTAAATCCTATAGTAACGTCTTTTCTTTGGGAATTATCTGTGTGACCTTCCCAGCCCTTCTTTTCCATCATGCTAATTGAAGGCCACATTGAAGTGCATGTTAATCCTGGGGATGGAACCAGCCTGAGAAGAGCTCTCCTGCATGCTCCCACGGGCACATATGGCGACGGTCAAGAGCATTCCATCTCCTTGATAAGGACCGGGAGGTATTTGCGTCACCTTACGAAGGCTCCCCAGTAGGAGGCCTGTATGCAGTGAAATGATTGGGATAATTAGTATGATGTCATCCAGAGTCCTTTTAATTCCAAAATAATTCTAGAAGCTTGATAGAATACCTCTTTGGAAAACAATTTGATCTGCTTTGTAGTAAGATATTTGCAGAATTTTCATAATTGAACAGCCTTAAACCTGCCCTTTTCTGGGGCCCGGCATAAAGTGTCTTTACACTGGAATAATTCTGTGTCAAATAGTGTTACAGTATTAGTAAATTCTAATAGTGAATGGTAAAATAGCAAATAGTGACATAGTAAATAGTAAAATGTAAACAGTGAAATAGTAAACAGTGTCATATCAACATTTCTATATAATTTCTCTCCAAAACTATAGACCAAAAGTTTTAAAAAAACACTGCACATTTTGTCACAGGTAAAGAAGTAAAAGATTCTCTCCAAAAAGCAATTGAACTGAATAATATTTAATCACATTCCATTCAGTTTTGGAGAACGTTTACCTGTAAGTTTTAATATTCAAGATTCACTTTTTTATTCACACACATGTTAAATGTCATGTTAAAATGTATCTTCAAGGCACTTTTATAATTCAGTAAAAACTTGCTGGAATTAGATATTAAAATGGACAGTTATGTTTCATTATATTCGAAAACCTTTATTTTCTCCTTTAACCTTTTAGAATTATCACTGTCCAACTGGATGAGACAGCTCCTGTGGAAATGAAGCTGGGCCCATCAGCAGAAAGCAGGACAATAAGTGTGTCCAACCTGTACATAGGTGGTGTTCCAGAGGGCGAGGGGACACCCATGCTGAAGATGAGAAGCTCATTCCATGGCTGTATCCAAAACCTGATCTTTAACATGGAGTAAGTGTGACTGTGCTCTCAGCATGATTTTGCACTTCCTGATCTTTTAATGCCCAGTACTGACACTAACCTACAACGTAATTTTGCTGTTTGAGATGGCCCCAAATTCTACAAGTTCCCGAATAACAAGTGAATCCCGTGTTCTATAAACTCCCCCAAATGGCTTTATTAGACTAGAATGATGGAAAAATCTGGTCATCATGCATGAGAAAAAAACAACCACTAAACATTAGTTCCATAGTACTGTCAACACACAGCAGGGGTCGAATACATTTTGGCATGCTTTTTTCTTTTAATATCTTTATTGGAGTATGATTGCTTTACAATGGTTTGTTTCTGCTTTATAACAAAGTGAATCAGCTATACATATACATATATCCCCATATCTTCACCCTCTTGCATCCCCCTCCCACCCTCCCTATCCCACCCCTCTAGGTGGTCACAAAGCACCGAGCTGATCTCCCTGTGCTATGTGGCTGCTTCCCACTAGCTATCTGTTTTACATTTGGTAGTGTATATATGTCCATGCCACTCTCTCACTTTGTCACAGCTTACCCTTCCCCCTCCCCATGTCCTCAAGTCCATTCTCTACGTCTGTGTCTTTATTGCTGTCCTGCCCCGAGGTTCTTCAGAACCATTTTTTTTTTTTTAAGATTCCATATTATGTGTTAGCATATGATATTTTTCTCTTTCTGACTTACTTCACTCTGTATGACAGACTCTGGGTCCATCCACCTCACTACAAATAGCTCAATTTCGTATATTTTTATGGCTGAGTAATATTCCATTGTATATGTGTGCCATATCTTCTTTATCCATTCATCTGTCAGTGGACACTTAGGTTGCTTCCATGTCCTGGCTATTGTAAATAGAGCTGCAATGAACATTGGGGTACACGACTCTTTGAATTACGGTTTTCTCAGGGTATATGCCCAGTAATGGGATTGCTGGGTCGTATGGTAGTTCTATTTGTAGTTTTTTAAGGAACCTCCATACTGTTCTGCACAGTGGCTTTATCAATTTACATTCCCACCAACAGTGCAAGATAAGGTTCCCTGTACTCCACACCCTCTCCAGCATTTATTGTTTCTAGATTTTTTGATGATGGCCATTCTGACTTGTGGGAGGTGATATCTCATTGTAGTTTTGATTTGCATTTCTCTAATGATTAGTGATGTTGAGCATCCTTTCATGTGTTTGTTGGCAATCTGTATATCTTCTTTGGAAAAATGTCTACTTAGGTCTTCTGCCCATTTTTGGATTGGGTTTTTTTTGATATTGAGCTGCATGTACTGCTTGTAAATTTTGGAGATTAATCCTTTGTCAGTTGCTTCATTTGCAAATATTTTCTCCCATTCTGAGGGTTGTCTTTTGGTCTTGTTTATGGTTTCCTTTGCTGTGCAAAAGCTTTGAAGTTTCATTAGGTTCCATTTGTTTATTTTTGTTTCTATTTCCATTTCTCTAGGAGGTGGGTCAAAAAGGATCTTGCTATGATTTATGTCATAGAGTGTTCTGCCTGTGTTTTCCTCTAAGAGTTTTATAGTGTCTGGCCTGACATTTAGGTCTTTAATTGATTTTGAGCTTATTTTTGTGTATGGTGTTAGGGAGTGTTCTAATTTCATTCTTTTACATGTAGCTGTCCAGTTTTCCCAGCACCACTTATTGAAGAGGCTGTCTTTTCTCCATTGTATATTCTTGCCTCCTTTATCAAAAATAAGGTGACCATAGGTATGGGGGTTTATCTCTGGGTTTTCTATCCTTTCTATCCATTGATCTATATATATCTGTTTTTCTGCCAGTACCATACTGTATTGATTACTGTACCTATGTAGTATGGTCTGAAGTCTGGGAGCCTGATTACTCCAGCTCCGTTTTTCTTTCTAAACATTGCTTTGGCTATTCGGGGTCTTTTCCATACAAATTGTGAAATTTTTTGTTCTAGTTTTGTGAAAAATGCCATTGGTAGTTTGATGGGGATTGCATTGAATCTGTAGATTGCTTTGGGTAGTAGAGTCATTTTCACAATGTTGATTCTACCAATCCAAGAACATGGTATATCTCTCCATCTGTTTGTATCATCTTTAATTTCTTTCATCAGTGTCTTATAGTTTTCTGCATACAGGTTCTTTTGTCTCCTTAGGTAGGTTTATTCCTAGGTATTCTATTATTTTTGTTGCAGTGGTAAATGGGAGTGTTTTCTTGATTTCACTTTCAGATTTTTCATCATTAGTGTATAGGAATGCTAGAGATTTCTGTGCATTAGTTTTGTATCCTGGTACTTTAGCAAATTCATTGATTAGCTCTAGTAGTTTTCTGGTAGCATCTTTGGGATTCTCTATGTCACTGCAAACAGTGACAGCTTTACTTCTTCTTTTCCAATTGGATTCCTTTTATTTGTTTTTCTTCTCTGATTGCTGTGGCTAAAACTTCCAAAACTATGTTGAATAAGAGTGGTGAGAGTGGACATCCTTGTCTTGTTCCCGATCTTAAAGGAAATGCTTTCAGTTTTTCACCATTGAGAACAATGTTGGCTGTGGGTTTGTCATATATGGCCTTTACTATGTTGAGGTAAGTTCCCTCTATGCCTACTTTCTGGAGGGTTTTTATCATAAATCGGTGTTGAATTTTGTCAAAAGCTTTTTCTGCATCTATTGACATGATCATATGGTTTTTCTACTTCAATTTGTTAATATGGTTTATCACATTGATTTGCGTATATTGAAGAATCCCTGCCTTCCTGGGATAAACCCCACTTGATCATGGTGTATGATCCTTTTAATGTGCCGTTGGATTCTGTTTGCTAGTATTTTGTTGAGGATTTTTGCATCTATGTTCATCAGTGATATTGGCCTGTAGTTGTCTTTTTTTGTGACATCCTTGTCTGGTTTTGGTATCAGGGTGATGGTGGCCTTGTAGAATGAGTCTGGGAGTGTTCCTTCCTCTGCTACATTTTGGAAGAGTTTGAGAAGGATAGGTGTTAGCTCTTCTCTAAATGTTTGATAGAATTCGCCTGTGAAGCCATCTGGTCCTGGGCTTTTGTTTGTTGGAAGATTTTTAATTACAGTCTCAATTTCAGTGCTTGTGTTTGGTCTGTTTATATTTTCTATTTCTTCCTGATTCAGTCTCAGAAGTTTGTGCTTTTCTAAGAATTTGTCCATTTCTTCCAGGTTGTCCATTGTATTGGCATATAGTTGCTTGTAGTAATCTCTCATGATATTTTGTATTTCTGCAGTGTCAGTTGTTACTTCTCCTTTTTCATTTCTAATTCTATTGATTTGAGTCTTCTCCCTTTTTTCCTTGATGAATCTCACTAATGCTTTATCAATTTTGTTTATCTTCTCAAAGAACCAGCTTTTAGTTTTATTGATCTTTACTATTGTTTCCTTCATTCCTTTCTCATTTATTTCTGATCTGATCTTTATGATTTCTTTCCTTCTGCTAACTTTGGGGGTTTTTTGTTCTTCTCTAATTGCTTTAGGTGTAAGGTTAGGTTGTTTATTTGAGATGTTTCTTGTTTCTTGAGGTAGGATTGTATTGCTGTATACTTCCCCCTTAGAACTGCTTTTGGGGCATGCCATAGGTTTTGAGTTGTCATGTTTTCACTGTCATTTGTTTCTAGGTATTTTTTGATTTCCTCTTTGATCTCTTCAGTGATCTCTTGGTTATTTAGTAGTGTATTGTTTAGCCTCCATGTGTCTGTATTTTTTACGGATTTTTTCCTGTAATTGATATCTAGTCTCAGAGCGTTGTAGTCAGAAAAGATACTTGATACGATTTCAGTTTTCTTAAATTTACCAAGGCTTGATTTGTGACCCAAGATATGATCTATCCTGGAGAGTGTTCCATGAGCACTAGAGAAAAATGTGTATTCTGTTGTTTTTGGATGGAGTGTCCTATAAATATCAATTAAGTCCATCTTGTTTAATGTATCATTTAAAGCTTGTGTTTACTTATTGATTTTCATTTTGGATGATCTGTCCATTGGTGAAACTGGGGTGTTAAAGTCCCCTACTGTGATTGTGTTACTGTTGATTTCCCCTTTTATGGCTGTTAGTATTTGCCTTATGTATTGAGGTGCTCCTGTGTTGGGTGCATAAACATTTACAATTGTTATATCTTCTTCTTGGATCGATCCCTTGATCATTATGTAGTGTCCTTCTTTGTTTCTTGAAATAGTCTTTATTTTAAAGTCCATTTTGTCTGATATGAGAATTGCTACTCCAGCTTTCTTTTGATTTCCTTTTGCATGGAATACCTTTTTCCATCCCCTTACTTTCAGTCTGTATGTGTTCCTAGGTCTGAAGTGGGTCTCTTGTAGACAGCATATATACAGGTCTTGTTTTTGTATCTATTCAGCCAGTCTTTGTCTTTTGGCTGGAGCATTTAATCCATTTACATTTAAGGTAATTATCGATATTTATGTTCCTATTCCCATTTTCTTAATTGTTTTGGGTTTGTTATTGTAGGTCTTTTCCTTCTCTTGTGTTTCCTGCCTAGAGAAGTTCCTTTAGCATTTGCTGTAGAGCTGGTTTGGTGGTGCTTAATTCTCTTAGTTTTTGCTTGTCTGTAAAGGTTTTAATTCTCCATCAAATCTGAATGAGATCCTTGGTGGGTAATCTTGGTTGTAGGTTTTTCCCTTTCATCACTTTAAATATGTCCTGCCACTCCCTTTTGGCTTGCAGAGATTCTGCTGAAAGATCAGCTGTTAACCTTTTGGGGATTCCCTTGTATGTTATTTGTTGTTTTTCCCTTGCTGCTTTTAATATTTTTTCTTTGTATTTAAGTTTTGATAGTTTGATTAATATGTGTCTTGGTGTGTTTCTCCTTGGATTTATCTTTGTATGGGACTCTCTGTGCTTCCTGGACTTGATTAAGTATTTCCTTTCCCATATTAGGGAAGTTTTCAACTATAATCTCTTCACATATTTTCTCAGTCCCTTTCTTTTTCTCTTCTTCTTCTGGAACCCCTATAATTCGAATGTTGGTGCATTTAATGTTGTCCCAGAGGTCTCTGAGACTGTCCTCAATTCTGTTCATTGTTTCCTTATTCTGCTCTGTGGTAGTTACTTCCACTATTTATCTTCCAGGTCACTTATCCATTCTTCTGCCTCAGTTATTCTGCAATTGATTCCTTCTGGAGAATTTTTAATTTCATTTATTGCATTGTTCATCATTGTTTGTTTGCTCTTCAGTTCTTCTAGGTCCTCATTAAACGTTTCTTGTATTTTCTCCATTCTGTTTCCAAGATTTTGGATCATCTTTACTATTGTTACTCTGAATTCTATTTCAGGTCAACTGTCTATTTCCTCTTCATTTGTTTGGTCTGGTGGGTTTTTACCTTGCTTCTTCATCTGTGTGTGTTTCTCTGTCTTCTCATTTTGCTTAACTTAATGTGTTTGGGGTCTCCTTTTCACAGGCTGCAGGTTTGTAGTTCCTGTTGTTTTTGGTGTCTGCCCGCAGTGGCTAAGGTGGTTCAGTGGGTTGTGTAGACTTCCTGGTGGAGGCGAGTGGTGCCTGTGTTCTGGTGGATGAGGCTGGATCTTGTCTTTCTGGTGGGCAGGACTGCGTCCAGTGGTGTGTTTTGGGGTGTTTGTGACCTTATTATGATTTTAGGCAGCCTCTCTGCTAATGGATGGGGTTGTGTTCCTGTCTTGCTAGTTGTTTGGCATAGTGTGTCCAGCACAGTAGCTTGCTGGTCGTTGAGTGGAGCTGGGTTTAGCGTTGAGGTGGAGATCTCTGGGAGAGCTTTTGCCGTTTGATATTACGTGCAGCTGGGAGGTCTCTGCTGGACAAGTGTCCTGAACTTGGCTCTCCCTCCTCAGAGGCACAGGCCTGACATGTGGCCAGAGTACCAAGATGCTGTTAGCCCCATGGCTCAGAAGAAAAGGGAGAAAGAAAGAAAGGATAAAATAAAGTTGTTAAAATAAAAATTATTAAAAATAAAAAAATTAAAAAGTAGTAAAAGACAAGAAACAAGAGGGCAACCAAACCAAAAAACAAATCCATCAATGATAGCAATTGCTAAAAACTAAAAAAAAAAACAAAAACAAAATGGACAGACAGAACCTTAGGACAAATGGTAAAAGCAAAGCTGTACAGACAAAATCACACAAAGAAGCATACACATACACACTCACAAAAAGAGAAAAAAGAGGGCTTCCCTGGTGGCGCAGTGGTTGAGAGTCCGCCTGCCGATGCAGGGGACACGGGTTCGTGCCCCGGTCCGGGAAGATCCCACATGCCGTGGAGCGGCTGGGCCCGTGAGCCATGGCCGCTGAGCCTGCGCGTCCGGAGCCTGTGCTCCGCAACGGGAGAGGCCACAGCAGTGAGAGGCCCACGTGCCACGAAAAAAATAGAGAAAAAGGAAAAAAAATATATCTAGACATAAAAAAAGAAGAGAGCAATCAAATCAATTAACAAATCTACCAATGATAATAAACTCTAATTACTAAACTAAGATAAACATAAAACCAGAAACAAATTAGATGCAGGAAGCAAACCCCAAGTCTACAGTTGCTCCCAACGTCTACCACCTCAATTTTGGGATGATTGGTTGTCTATTCAGGTATTCCACAGATACAGGTACATCAAGTTGATTGTGGAGCTTGAATCCGCTGCTTCTGAGGCTGCTGGGAGAGATTTCCCTTTCTCTTCTTTGTTCTCACAGCTCCCAGGGGCTCAGCTTTGGATTTGGCCCCGCCTCTGCGTGTATGTCGCCAGAGGGTGTCAGTTCCCTGCCCAGACAGGACGGGGTTAAAGGAGCCGCTGATGCGGGGGCTCTGGCTCACTCGGCGGGGGGGTGGGTAGGGAGGGGTACGGATGCAGGGCAAGCCTGCGGTGGCAGAGGCCAGCATAACATTGCAACAGCCTGATGAACGCCATGTGTTCTCCCGGGGAAGTTGTCCCTGGAACATGGGACCCTGATAGTGGTGGGCCGCACAGGCTCCTGGGAGGGGAGGTGTGGAAAGTGACCTTCTTGTTCCTGAACGCCGTGAGACTGGGAACCTGATAGGGCAGAAACATCTATGTACTACTGTTCACAGCCATGTCCTCAGAAAGTGCCAACAAAGGACGTGCAGACAGGGGACATGTTGTAGAGTAAAGGGACATATGACAAGGGTAGTTCACGACTTCCTGGCAAAGGGAAACTGTGAGAAAGAAGCCAGTGTTTCATGGAGGCTGCTCTGCAGCGCTGTGGGAGCCACAGCCAGCTTCTTGCCCTGAGGCAGCCAAGCCAAGGCTGCAGGAGCAGGTGACAGCATTTGAGCTGACTCCTGAGGGACACTCAGGAATGGCCAGGTGGACACAGGGGGGGATGGGCTGCAGGGCGGGCGGACAGGGGGCTGCCATTTCAGGCAGAAGAATCAAACAAGACGATAGATAAGGGAGGTTATGTGGACTTCTAGTCACTGTGGGAGACGGTCAATTTGGTTACTCTGAGTATTATATTAATGTTTGTTTTTTAAAAAGTCAGGTTTATTGAGGTATAATTTAAATACAGCAAAATTAACTCTTTTAGGTGTACAGTTTGATGAGCTTTGACAAATACATAGTTAGATAAATACTACACATTTGATTGCCATCACCCCCAAAAAGTTTCCTTGTGTCCCTTTATAGTCAGTCATCTCCCACATGCTTAGTCCCTGGCAGCTGCTAATCTTATTTCTGTCTCTATAGTTTTGCCTTTCAGAATTGTAGTGTGTAGATTTTTTAAAAATTAATTTTTGGCTGCATTGGGTCTTTGTTGCTGCATGCGGGCTTTCTCTAGTTGCGGCAAGTGGGGGCTACTCTTCTATGCGGTGCGTGGGCTTCTCCTTGCAGTGGCTTCTCTTGTTGCGGAGCATGGGCTCTAGGTGTTCAGGCTTCAGTAGTTGTGGCACGCGTATATTAATGTTTTTTAATGGATTTTAAGTGTTCAATAATCACATGACCTTGGTTCATGGGTTGGTTTGTATTATCTCCATTAATTTTGAAAACACTTTGTTTGTATCTAGACTTTTGGATTTCACTAGTGCCACTGGCTATGAACACGTGGACTTGGACTCCTGCTTGCTCTCAAAACAGCCAAAGCTGGCTCTCCACGGAGAGGACGGCGAACTCCCGCCAGAGCCCCAGCCTTTACCAAGTCCAGTAAGAAGGGCTTTCTTTAATCTATGGTTCAGGTCCAGTCAGAAAAAAAGAGCACCACCCAGAGGACATTAAAATGGGGACCTCATGATAAATCCACAGGAGCACACAGAGGGAAGAGCTGGGGCCGCCCAGGGAGCGAGTCTGAGCAGAGCGTCTCCCAGTGGGTGCTGGAGCACAGAGAAGACAGGCCCTGCCAGGGAGGCAGGAAGGAGGGAGAGACACGCAGCTTCTCCCATTCACCCTCTAGCCTCCCAGCACTGCCTTCCATTGGCTGGATGAACCAGTTGGAAGCCACTTTCCAAAGGAATCTGGGAGTTACAGGGTCACCCCTGTGATGAGAAGCAGGGGGGCAAGCAGGATGGCTCTCTGAGAAAACAGCATATCAGACATGGCAGAGTGTCCCGAGCTGCAAGCTCTAATGCTCGGGTGTGTCTTTTGGTTGCCACACAGCCAGCTTTGAGGCAGAGGCTTTATAAGGACTCAGTATCACTTTGGATTTAGTCAGAAACATGAAAATAAGTATTTATATAGGCCGTCGTACATATCGTTGCTTTAAAAAAAAAGATTTGATTCATCTAGGAAAAGCCAGTTTGACCAAGTATTTTTAACAGCAGCCATTGTTAGTTTTCACTTTTCTTTCCCTTTTCTGATTTATCTACTTCCTTGGTTGAAAGTTTACACTCTGATTTAGATGGCACAATCACACAAAAGCAGTACCTTGCAAGCAGGGCCCATCTTTGAGTTCAGGACAGTTGTCTTGGTAGCATCTGTCCACCGACCTGGAAAACTGAGTCTAAGGCCTCACTTGGTCCGGAGTCAGGGCACCTGCCCCTCCAGCCCAGCTCCTCCTGGCTGCACCCGCTCCTGTCTGGGTGGAACTGGCTCGGCCTGTCACCTGTGGGCACTTACAGCTGCCCGGTGCTTGTGAGGCAGGTGCTCCTGTAACCGCTGACATCCTCAGGCCCTCCCCAGAGCAGGGGTTTCAGGGGCACAGGGGCGCAGAGCAAGGCCTTTGCCCCTTAGGCCTGATGAAAATTCATGGGAATTTAGGTGAACTTGAGTGGGGCTGAGGTGAAAAAAACTCTAATTGCCTTCTCAGAGAGATAAAGAAAGGGATGTGTAGTAAACTGTTCGAAGCAAAAAAAGGAAAATCGGTGCTGTGTGTTTGTGTTGCTGGTGCTCTGACACAGTTGCTTCTGAGATGTTTCCCTCGTGGAAAAACGCATCAGTGTTAGTGGGGGTCTTGGTCGTGTGTGGCTGAGAACCATGTGCATGTCTTACAGGAATTGTGTGTCATGGACAGAGCCCCGGAGTACGTCCCCAACGCCCACCAGTTCGGCCTCGCAGGAGGCAGCCACTTGGTGCTGCCCTTTAATCAGCTGGCTGTCAGAAAGAGGTAGGCATTGCTCTAACGTCCTCATGAGTTATCTCACTGCTAGATGAGTCCAGGACGTATTCTTCAGCAATGGGTCTTTTCTAGAAGAAGCTTCTTGTGTTTCACCATGGAGTGTTCAACTTGCCACCATAGGGCAGCAGTGAGAAGGCAAAGAGGGGAAGGCAGCCTCTGTGGACCTCAGATGCTTAAACGTGATTAAGTGGGGTGCTGTGGTTTGTCTTTACCCCATCTTGATGATGGCTGGTTGCTGCCTGTCTGTGTGTATGTAGGAAAGCACGTAGGTATCTAAATCCCCCTTCCTTCTGGAATCCCAGGTTCTCTGGATCTATCATCTGGCCTTTGAACCCCATTCTACAGTAAGCATTCACTAATCTGATGAAACTGCCTACCCAAACTTTCACTGTGCCCCCAAATCCCTGATGCCACACCCACACCAGTCTGCACGTTCCCCCGGCCCTCACACATGCCTGTCCCAGGTACCCTTCTCTGTTCAGTGAAAGCGGCTCACATCCCAGGGATCTCATGACCGAGGACCCACAGTCCTCCCCGCTCTTCCTGTGGCTCAGCCCTGAGGTCCGCACCTTCAGGCCTGCCATGCTCTTGTGCCTCTGCCGTGTCATCTGAGCTCACCGCCCCAGTACACATCTCGGCTCAGCGTCTTCTCTTTGCAGCCCCTGCCATCGTTTGTTCCCCATGAGTTCAGCAGCCACCCAGCACCTCATCTTTGAGGTCCTCTGGCTTAGATATGTGTTTTCGTCCTTCCCTCTGAGCCACCCTCTCCCATGCTCACACCCTTGAGTACTACATAAGTACCCACCCTACCTCCACAACCTCTACCTTAAGCATCCTACTAAACCCTCTTCCTCCTCCTTACTTCCGGCTCCAGCAGTCCCTCAACTGCATCAAGACCCCTGAGCCCTCATGCTTTCTCAGCATCATCACCCTTTTTCTGTCTCCCACAGCAGTTTACCCCCTTACCCAGATAGGTTTGATGCCTTTATTACAGGTGTTCCTCTGCAAACTCCCTTAACCCTCTCATCTCTTCACTGTGACCCCAGGTAAAGCCCATACGGGGCCTGATCCATGCTAGAACCCGAGCTGGTAGTCAGGACTGCAGAGATGCATCTCTTTTTCCTACCTGGTTTGACTTTAAAGCTGTGGCCACAGATCTCAGATGGAACCTCCAAACTCCAAATGTATGGGGAGCCAGTATACGTCTCTAATACATTCACTTTTATTTTTCGTAGCTTCTTCTCTTCTTTCAAAACTCTATGCATCCCCACAGCTCCCTTCATGCCCCAGCTGCTGTCTTGCGTCACTGAGAAGAAAGAGCCCGTTCTTCTGTCCACCATCAGAAGGAGCACCCTGCCTCTGTCCCCCCGCCCCTCCCCTGCCACATGGAGGAAGGGTTCTTGTCTTGCCCACTGGAGCCGTCACCCCTCCTCCCAGGACACGGGCAGCATCCATTTCTCCCTCTTTCATACCTGATCCTGTCAGCACACAGAATCACTTCCATCACCCCGTCATCAGGGAGACCAAGGAGCAAACACTTGTACCAGAGACCATCTCGGTATTTTACACACAAACCCCAACTTAGTCCTCATAATTATCCTGTGAGGAGGGTATTATCTTCATTTTATAGACCAGGAAATTGAGGCACCTGCTCAGACTCCTACCCGGTGCTTGTGACCACTGCGCCGACTTCCTCTCTAGGAGTTCCTAACTTTTAAAACAGAAATGCTCTGGTACACTGCACACCCCAGCCCACCCCACTCAATATCCCGGCTCTGCTTCACAGTGGAACGTCTTGGAAGAGTTGCCTTACGTGGCTGTCTGTCTTTCCCCGCCTCCCCTTCCCTCCTCTCCCCACCTGGTCAGCCTCGCCTCGCTCCTCGCCAGGTCGTCGGAGCCCTGCTGCGGCCACGTCCGTGCGTGGTGGTGCCGCCCCCTCCAGGCGCTCAGCGGCATCAGCGCCCCGGGCCCCTCTGCGTCCTTCGCAGCCGAGGCGCCACGCTCCCCTCACCCCTGCCCCGCCCGCTGCTCAGTCTCCTCCTCTGGCTCCTCTGCTATCAGAGGGGGCAGCGTCCCTCCCGCCTCCCCTCCACGGCGCCTTCTGTGTTCCAGTGGCTGTGAAATGCCATCTATTCGCACCAGCACCCACATCACTAGCTCTGAGCTCCACCCAGAACTCAGGGGCTGTACACCCAACCACCTGGACATCTCCACGTGGATGGGGACAGGCCTCTCAGCCTCAGTGCACCCAGAGAGAGTTCACCGTCTCCCCGAAACCTGCATTTCTGTAGGCGTCACCACCATTCACCTGGCTGCCCAAGGCCCACACCTAGAGCTTGTTCCTTCCCTTGCTCTCCAAATTTAGTCCCTTAGCAAGTCCTGAGGCTTCTTCATCCAGAACATTTCATGTGTTACTTCACCTCCTCCGCGTTCCCCCTGCCCCAGCCACCCTGGTCTGAGCCCCAATCTGGCCTTTGTGGACTCTTGTAACAGCTGCCAGCCTGACACCTGCTGTCACCCTGGCCCCATCTGATTTGCTCTCCACATCACAGGTTCTTTTTAATATATAAATCCAGCCATGCCCATCCCCCTTCTTAAAACCCTCCCGTGACTTCCCACTGCACTTACACTGAAATCTGCCACGCTCTCCTTCCCCTGTCCCCGTGTGCCTCAGTGACCCTGTGCTCCCTTCTGTGGGAAGACACCCAGACGAAACCTTCCTCCACCCCTATGTGGTGCCGTCTCCCACATGGCCCCCTTGGGGATTGCTGGCTGACCACCAGAATCAACCGGTTGTTTTCACATACTCTGCACTGTCTGAAAACGAAATGCAGGCCTTTCCTGCAGAGGTTTGTGGGGCTTCCTCCTGTCTTTCATTCAGATCTCAGAAATAACCATCTTTCAGAGTTGCCTGCCCTGACTACTTAATGTAGCCACCACTTGGGCCTTCACATGCCCCAGTTTTAACCCTCTGATATATTTCTGGTATTAGTTTCAGCGGGGAAGGGACCTTCCTCGGTTCACTGCTTGATCCTCTGCTCCTACAACCGTTCCTGGCAGGTGGAGGTACACAGTAACCATGAGTTGAATGAATGGATAATAAGTAAATGAAGGGATGAATGACCTGAGATGTTAAATATAAATGTTGAAACACTTATTGGGGTCTCTCTTTGAGGTTAAAGAGTAAAAGTGAAAGCATATTCCTGAGAGCTGAGCTCTTGCTTCCCTCCAGGCTCTTGGTCCAGCTAAGCATCCGAACGTTCGCCTCCAGTGGCCTGGTTTACTACATGGCTCATCAGAACCAGGTTGACTACGCCACGCTCCAGCTGCATGGGGGCCGCCTCCACTTCATGTTCGATCTTGGGAAGGGCAGGACAAAAGTCTCACACCCTGCGCTGCTCAGTGATGGCCAGTGGCACACGGTACGCTCTCAGGAAGCTGTGATCACTCGTTGTGAGTTTTGCTCCACGTGTCCCTAGTGTCCACTCCATTTCACAGTAGTGGGATCATCCCCTTTGATTTCCAGCTTGCTTTGTGTCTGACATCTGCCCTATAGAATGTAAACTCCTTGCAGGCAGGGACGTTTTCTGCTTCTGGAAATATCCCCAGGGCCTCACTCAGTGCCTGACACTTAGTAGGCACTCAGCAAACATTGGTAAATGAACAAAAGGCACCAGAAATGTCCTTGGCTTGACGAGAAGTAAATCAAGCCCAGGGTGGCATGAATGGGCCAAACCTGACATCATGGCATTTGTGTTCTTGTGACTAGGACTCTGGAGCATGCTGTATTCTTTTTTTTTTTTAATTTAATTTGTTTTTTTCTATACAGCAGGTTATTATCTATTTTATACATATCAGTGTATACACGTCAATCCCAATCGCCCAATTCATCACACCACCCCCCCGCCCCGATCCCCACCACTTTCCCCCCTTGGTGTCCATACGTTTGTTCTCTACATCTGTGTCTCAATTTCTGCCCTGCAAACCTGTTCATCTATACCATTTCTCTAGGTTCCACATATATGCGTTAATATACAATATTTGTTTTTCTCTTTCTGACTTACTTCACTCTGTATGACAGTCCCTAGATTCATCCATGTTTCTACAAATGACCCAGTTTCGTTCCTTTTTATAGCTGAGTAATATTCTGTTGTATATATGCACCACATCTTCTTTATCCATTCGTCTGTCGATGGGCATTTAGGTTGCTTCCATGACCTGGCTATTGTAAATAGTGCTGCAATGAACATTGGGGTGCATGTGTCTTTCTGAATTACGGTTTTCTCAGGGTATATGCCCAGTAGTGGGATTGCTGGGTCGTATGGTAGTTCTATTTTTAGTTTTTTAAGGAACCTCCATACTGTTCTCCATAGTGGCTGTATCAATTCACATTCCCACCAACAGTGCAAGAGGGTTCCCTTTTCTCCACACCCTCTCCAGCATTTGCTGTTTGTAGATTTTCTGATGATGCCCATTCTAACTGGTGTGAGGTGATACCTCATTGTAGTTTTGATGTGCATTTCTCTAATAATTAGTGATGATGAGCAGCTTTTCATGTGCCTCTTGGCCATCTGTATGTCTTCTTTGGAGAAATGTCTTTTTAGGTCTTCTGCCCATTTTTGGATTGGGTTGTTTTTTTAATACTGAGCTGCATGAGCTGTTTATATATTTTGGAGATTAATCCTTTGTCTGTTGATTCATTTGCAAATATTTTCTCCCATTCTGAGGGTTGTCTTTTTGTCTTGTTTGTAGTTTCCTTTGCTTTTGTAAAAGCTTTTAAGTTTCATTAGGTCCTATTTGTTTATTTTTGTTTTTATTTCCATTACTCTAGGAGGTGGATCAAA